TTAATGTTGTCAAGGCTGAGAAACATTGGTCCAATTGCTTTTTCTGACATCCCAGCTCAAACGCATTGTTTTCACAATATGTATCTTTGGAGTCAATGGGATGTCTCTGCATTTTAAAAGTCAGTCTAGATCTGTTGTAATCTCATAGCTGCAGTCCCAGTCCCAGTGGGCTCAATTTATTTATTAAGATATTTGGGCTCAATTTATTTATTACTTCAACTTCTCACTACTTGCATAAAGTTAGTGTCATTTGCTGACATGATCTTAGTTTTTTTTTTTAAATCTTAAGGAACAGATCAACAAGAGATTTGCCTTGTCATTTTCAGACCACCAAGTAGTATCATCAGCATAACTTTTTTTTTTAAATTTGATTTATATGCCGCCCTTCTCTGAAGACTCAGGCTTACAATGTGCTCAGCAATAGCCTTCATTCTTTTGTATATTTATACAAAGTCAGCTTATTGCCCCCACAACTGGGTCCTCAATTTACCTACCTTAGAAAGGATGGAAGGCTGAGTCAACCTTGAGCCTTGGCGAGATTCGAACCCTGCAGTAATTGCAGGCAGCTGGTCTTAATAACCAGCTTAATAACAGGGTGCCTTAAACCCCTGTACTACCAAGGCCCTGTACTACCATAACTGAGTTTGTTGATGCTTTCCTCAACCATTTTAGTTGCCTATTTCTTCTAATCCAGAATTTCTCATGATATATTCTTCATGTTTGTTAAATAAATAAAGTAACCTAACTGATGCTACTCATTCCCATCTTTGAACCCATTTTATTGTTCCCTATTCCATTCTAATTGTGGCTTCTTGTTCCTTATATTGATTTTTCAATAACCCTGGAATACCCATGCTTTTGAGAATTATTCACATTTGGTTGTGGTTTACACAGCCAAAAACGTCTTCTCAAGAAGTAGGGCTTCTTCTCAAACTAATAAATAGCACATTTTTCCTTGCCGTGAGGGAAATGGATGTTCAACCAGCAGCTGTGCTGTGGGAATCTGGGTGGGTGGTGTAAAGTTCAGTATGTTACACAAACCCAGAACTTGGGGTCATCAAGATAAAATGCTTCCAAAAGATAGTGGGGAGTTTGTTTTTGAGCTGTTCCAAAAAAGGGAAAGACGCTTTCTGCTTTTGCCCCCAGGGTTCATTCACCCCAATTCAATGCCCAGGGTTAGGTTCCTGCTTGCCAATCTGGGGGCCAGCCTTTCAGGAAGGGGGCTGTTTGAGGGTCAAAGGTGAAAAGGCAGCAGCTATAAAGCAACCCCAGCTGTGAAGACTTGGTCCCATCACATGAGTGCTGGAAAGAATTCTTGAGCCCATGGAAACCAAACTTACAGCATTATTTAGATTACATACATTTAGAATGTATACACTATTAACACTCTTATTGTCTGTTTGTACCCTCAAGTTAACCCAAACAATGCATTATTCCACAACCATTTTTAAATCAGGGTACCTAAAATCCACTAATTTAAAAAATGTGTAAAAAAATCCAAGACCTATTACTCTGGTGGAATTGAAACTTACACAATGTTCAGACCAGTTTTATTGACAAAGTTGTGGCTGTTCAGGAATCCCCAGGGCCAGGTGATTTGACTTCAAATGCTCCCTGCCAGCTCCCCACAAGCAAAGTCAATGGGAAAGTTGGCGGGAAGTCAGAAGTCACTCCCAATCCCACTGGCTTTTTTGCCTAAGTGAGGTCATTCTGTTTATCTGTTTAAATAAGCAATTGTTGATTTATCATTGACGTTTGTTTGTCACAAACTTTATTTGTTATTTTTCTATTCATTATACTGTATATTTCGTAGATAATCACAGGACTATCCAGCACTAGAGGAGAAATATTGTCAGCCCAAAACTCAATGTTTCTGCTGGTCACAGCAGATTGTGCTATCATCCTCTCAAAAATGTCCCAATGAGTCACAGAATTAAACCCATAGCCTACAACCATCATGGCCAACAGGAAGCAGATTTTCATGGACTAGACGTTTCCTGCTATCAAAAGGGGAGTCACCTTGAAGGTGCCATGAGGCATATGTTGTTTTGGTTTTACAACTGTCTAAGCAATTGCTGTGCCTTTGGACTTTCACCTTGCAAAGAAAATCTGGTAAGGCCAGGAATGGAACGATTTGCCTGCTTGAAATGCTTGAGAGAGCTTTGTTAATGCAGTTTTATCCTCAGAGTGGGCAGTTAGAGTGCAGATAGCATCTCTTTTTCCAAATCTCTCACAGGTGTTGGAGTGACAAAACAAACATCTAAAACTTGCCCAGATGGGATTGCCTCTTCTGGGTATTCTGTCTGAAGGACATGTTTATCCTTTTTAGCTGCTTAGCAATGGATCCTTGAAAAAAATGCTATCTTGGCCTCCAGCCAGGTAAGAGGAACCACTACGTTCTACCAGAATCAGATATCATTTCTCTAATAAAGCCTTACCAAAACTGATACCCCCAGACAGCTTGGCTGGGAATTTAGGAACTTCCAGCCCCAGGACATCTGGAAGATGCCTGGCTGGGCCAGTATGATTAAATATGTTTAGGCAATCCAGTGGTTGGTTCCACCTTAAATGAAGTGCAGGAACAAGATTCTGGCAACAAAGAGTGCTCCCAGGGGCAGCAGAAAATAAGAAGAGTTCTCTATGGTAAACCTATGATAGGATTACACATGAAGAAACCCCCATAAAATTGATTTGGGGGGGGTTCCTATCTGCCAGCTATGGCCTTTCTTTCTGGGGAGTTTAAGCAAGCTTCTCCACCTCCAGAGCAGCATTTCTTAAGCATGGCAAATTTAAGACATGTGGACTTCAGCTCCCAGAATTATCTAGCTCCCAGAATCCCCAACTGAGATTGAGAAATGCTGCTTTGCAATATCCTCATTGGATAAGGAACTGACCGGTTTTACAGGAAGCTGAGACAGAAATCATGAGAATAATAGCAAGTTTCCAACAGCGGTGCTTAGGGTGTGTTTGTGGGACAAAAAGGTCAAGATGGCAGCTTGTGATGAAAGCTCCATCCTTTTCTTTAAAAAGTACGGAGCTTTGATCAATTGGTCCTCTTCGGTTTTTCTGATCCCTCCTGATTTCTAAATTTAAGAATGGTGTTTGGGTTCTCCAAACCACAGAAGTCATCATCACCGTCATCAAAAGAAAAATAATAGCTCAAATTGAGAGGTAGCCTTTGCATCCTGACTGGCTCAAGGTTGACTCAGCCTTCCATCCTTCCGAGGTGGGTAAAATGAGGACCCAGATTGTTGGGGGCAACAGGCTGACTCTGTAAACCACTTAGAGAGGGCTGTAAAAGCAATGTGAAGCAGTATATAAGTTTAACTGTTATTGCTATTGTACTCTTAAAGTGAAGACAGTATCTAGAAAAAAGTGCCACCCTCTTTCTCAATTTACCAATTTCCTAGTGAAAGACATACTTCGTCAGTTTCAGCCCAGGTGTTAATATAAGCCCATAGGCTTATGAGATCCTTTCTTTTATTGTCTGGGGTTCACTGGCAGGTCAGAGATGGTCAGGGTTGGTAAATGGCATGGATGGCAAAGGTGGCGTGTGGGTTTTCCTTTCTCAAAGATGGATAAAAGGCAGATCATTCTGTTTTCTTACCTGGGGGATCTGCAAGGTCAACAAAAGTAAAGATGGAAATTTCATTTACTATGAAAACAAAGCAGGGTTTGGTTCAGTGGTGGGTTGACCCTGGTTCGGACCGGTTCTATAGAACCGGTAGTAAAACCGGCGGGAGGCTCCGCCCACTGACCTGGACGTCTTTAGAAGCAATCTGCGCATGAGCTGAAGTGCGCGGGCACGATGCGAACCGGTAGTAAAGGTAAGTAGAACCCACCCCTGGTTTGATTGCACTGTTGTGATCACCATCTGCAGATACTTACCATCCTGGAAATTGCTGTGTCCGCCTTAGTGACTTTCTAATATGCACCCTGCCTCTGTCTGCAATATAGTTGTCTTTCCATGGCCATCAGTCCATGGGATTTACTGGAGAATCCAACACTTTACTGAAGTGCATCACATGGGTTGGTTTATTAGAGTCAGCAGGAGGAGCTGCTGCTTTACTTTCCTTGTTGTCCCAGGGATTTGTACTTAAAAGAGAAGGCAAGGTCACAGGAAAACTAGGGCAGGCCCAGAGGGCAGAGAAGATGTGGTAGACCAGTGCCCCAATCAAGGTCTCCTGGCTTCTGGTTAGGCAAAGGTAAAGGTTCCCCTCACACATATGTGCTAGTCGTTCCCAACTCAAGGGGGTGGTGCTCATCTCCGTTTCAAAGCCGAAGAGCCAGCGCTGTCTGAAGACGTCTCCGTGGTCATGTGGCCTGCATGACTCAACGCCAAAGGCGCACGGAATGCTGTTACCTTTATTTTATTTATTTATTTATTGGTTCGATTTATATGCCGCCCTTCTCCAGAGACTCAGGGCGACTTACAATGTGTTAAGCAATAGCCTTCATACTTTTTGTATATACCTGCTTAGTAGGGCTTTCGCCCCCCCCCCCCAAGTTCTTCCTGGTAGAACTATCTGACCTTCCCACCAAAGGTGGTCCCTATTTTTCTACTTGCATTTTTTTTTACGTGCTTTCAAACTGTTAGGTTGGCAGAAGCTGGGACAAGTAATGGGAGCTCACCCCGTTACGCAGCACTAGGGATTCGAACCGCTGAACTGCCGACCTTTCGATTGACAAGCTCAGCATCTAGGACACTGAGCCACTGCATCCCACCACTTTAACTAGCTCGTTAAAAAAATTGCACTTTGCCCTTTCATCTTTCCAAGTCATTTCAGACCTGGGTGGAGGATCCATGACTTTTCTTGGCTGATGATAAGAAAAGGAAGCAGTGCCCGGGCAGGATAAATTACTTTACACTCTTGCTGACTTATGTTCCTATTGAAACTTCCTTTCAAAGAATAGAGTGTCTCCTCCCAGCTGGAGACAATAATAGTATACTTTAAAAAAAAAAAACCTCTGCTATTCACCTCTGGATAATTAAAGTTCCTGCTCTTTTTTATATTTCCAAGGACTTGATTGTTTCAAGAATAAACAGCTTTTGTCTATATACACATACGTATATGCAGCGTGTGCACCGAGGAGAGTGAGTTTGTTATTTTGTTCTCTGTGGAGACACACTCTGTGCTTGGCACCTCTGCCATGGCCCTGGTGAGGTTCAAGGAACTGGGGGAAGATGAATTGAACTTAGAAGAGGAGAACCTAGACAGTGTCAAGGCCTTGACAACAAAGTTGAAGCTACAGACACGGCGCCCATCTTATCTGGAGTGGAAGGCCCATGTGCAAAGTCCCTCCTGGAGAAATGGGCTGCAGGCTGGAGCTCTGAAGACCCACCTGGAGAAGCAGGGTGAAGAGGCAGTAGGAGAAGAGAATCAGGCCCAGGGACCCCTGAAGTCTGTTTGTGGATTCCCCACCATTGGTATGGCCTTTGAATGGCTTCGGATGGAACTGGTAAGTAGTTCTTTGGGTCTCAGGAGAAGTTGGTCTAAAAGGGTCAGAAACTCAAATAGTTCTACCAGGAAACTAAATTATAATTAATGTCAATAAAATCTGCTGGAAGACGGGGCAGCAAAATCCTGGTTTTTCAATCTCCAGCCAGGAGCATCTGCTATTCATCCCTTTAACTTAATCTCTGCTGTTTTTTGGGCAGTGGGCTTCTGGAGAACATAGGCAGAGGAGAAAAACTGTTTAGGTCAGTATCTTTCAAGGACCACCTCCCAGCCAGGAGCTTTTTACAAGCTGTGCTTCTCTGCTTCTGCTCCAGATGTAAGTGAGAAGTTAAGAGTCTTGTCTGAGAAGGACCAACATCTAGTTGAAGCCACAACAACATTGCACCGTGATGATGATGATGATGCCATGCCACAGGTGACATCATTGGCATGCCTGGTCTCCTCTGATTATCAGAAGTGGGAAGTGTTTGGCAGGGAAATGCTTTGAAACCTATTAAGTCCAATTTGGCACTGGTTTCCTTACCTGGTGCCCTCCAGACAAGTTGGGGCAAGTGGTTGGACATTTACAACTGAAAACTTTCAGGAATAGAGAGGACAGATCCTAATACTAAAGTGCTGTGTTTGAGATTGAGCCATTCTATGGTGACCGTGATAGATATATACATCATTTCTTTTAGTTTTGCTTCAAGCTTTTTGCCATCATAGTCCTAGCAAAGGAATGGCTTGCCAGGTTGAAGACAGTGTGTGCTTAACACTACATTAGAATCTCTGGCTGCTTGTAAATTATTAGTTGGCACCACCAACGTCTTTTCTTCTGGAAGATCATATGGCCATTGTTGACTACAAAATTGCTAAATTTTGCCTAGCAACTCTGAGGACGTGGCAGCAAATATTACCCAACATTGCTGAGGTCTTTTAAAACTGTTAAATATTTTAAATCTTGCTCAAATCTTTTTTTTTGGTTCCCTCTTGAATCTTTGCTACTGTTGCATCTTACTATGATGGATTTTGGGTGCATCTGCTGGTCAAGTAAACAAATGAATAAAGAAAAATAAACACATAAAGACCCAAATAAATTTTCTAAAATGTGGCAATGTTCAGTGGGTAAGTAAATTGCAGTAATGTGAAACTCAGCAGTTGTCTCTCAATACTGTATGTAGTCAGACTGCAGTCCCATATTTTAAGAAAAAGAAGGGGAGCAAGATATTTGAGCAATGGGGAGTCCGTGGCCATCCAGGACATTTCCCCAGCAATTTTAGCCAGTTTATTTAGACAGTTTATACATTTCAGTTTATTACAGATCTAGACCAATAGAAGCAGAGTGCTCTGTGAAGATAAATAGATTTAGAATGTAAAACATACCATAGAGTAACAAATTTGGAAGGGACCTTGGAGATCTTCTAGTCCTGTTCAAGCAGGAGACTCTACATCAGGGCTGTCAAACTCCCAGCCCATGGGTCGGATGCGTCATGTGCTGGCCATACCCATGATCGGTTTAGCGAAGGGGGAAAAAGTCCCAATACGTCACGTGACGCCACCGTGATGACGTGAATTTGACACCCCTGCCCTATATCATTCGGGACAAAGATAGCTAGATAAATGGATAAAAAACAAAATAAAGTTTAAGATAAAGTTAAAATACATTTCTAAAACAATCTAACTAACATCTCTGAATGAGATCCATGATGCAGTCTATATTAAATTATAATGTAGACACTAAAATTATATTCCATGTAATATTGTTTAAAATTCCAAAAAAAGTGTTAACATCTAGAATTTAGATGAATTACAGTTACATTTGGCTAACTCGTTGGATCTTCCCTACTTGTGCTGTAATAAGGGATACTTCATCTATCAGCAGGATTTGACATAGACTGAAATTGGGCGAACAAGATCTCTACTAATCATAGGTAGACAGAATCTGGTTCAGAATCTGCTCCATAAAAGGAACAACGAAGAAGAACATTTTCTGCAGTTTCCAAGTCTTTGGAATCATAGGCACAAAGCCTTTCAGCCAATGGTACTTTTTATATTTATTATATAATATATATATATATAATATATATAATATATAATTTATTATATACTACAGAGGGGAGAGCATGGTGTCAGGCAATAGAGAAAGCTTTCCAATGGCTGGGTGTTTCTAGCTATGTAAGGTAGCTGGCAGCAGAGACAATATATCTGTTGTGAGCTGATAACAGGAAAGTGGGGACCTTTCCTAGAGTTTAGCTCAGGAATCACTTTCTGGGAGCAGGGTCACCCTGTCTTAAAAAGTCAACTCTCCTTGGAGATTATACATCAACCCCTGGTGATTAAATGTATAAAGGTAAAGGTTCCCCTTGCACATATGTGCTAGTTGTTCCCGACTCTAGGGGGTGGTGCTCATCTACATTGAAGAGCCAGCGCTGTCCGACGACGTCTCTGTGGCCATGTGGCCGGCATGACTAAAGGCCAAAGGCGCACAGAATGCTATTACCTTCCCACCAAAGGTGGTGCCTAGTTTTCTACTTGTATTTTTGATGTGCTTTTGAACTGCTAGGTTGGCAGAAGCTGGGATAAGTCACGGGAGCTCACCCCGTTAGGCGGCACTAGGGATTAAATGTATAGTTCTCTGTAATTTTCTTAACCTACAGTCATGTTTCTCAACACTGCCAGCTTTCACATGGATTCTAGGAGTTCAAGTCTTAAAGCGACCAAGGTTGGGAAACTCTGCTGCAGTGAAAATGAAAGGGTGAATTTTGTTTTGAGTATTCTACTGTTCAAAGCAAAGTCAGCAGCTGAACTGGTGGGTGTTTATTACATTTGTGTTTGCTCTTCTGTGAACAGGTGTGTCTGCTGGGTCAGGAAAGGGAAGATAGGAGCTGCAATAATGCAATGAAAACTCTCTCCCTCTTTTTTATGTGCATTGTGAAACTTCAGTTGTGAAAGCCACTACCTTGGCATTTCTGGCCATACCCTCTTTGTGGGCTTAGCAGTTGTTCACCCTTCTGTCTGGAGATATTTTGTTAACCTCCTTCAGAGCAAGAAACCAGGTTGTTACCTGTCCTTAGAGGCTATCTTGGTAACCCTTGGCTCTGGCTGTTCATTGGCCTATCTGCCTTATGCCTAGTTGACTTTAAGCTGCTAAATGGATAGAAGTAAAACATATTTCTCTCTCCCTCCCTCTCCCTCCCTCCCTCTCCACCTCATCTACCTACCTGTTCTATCTACCTATCTCTCTCTGTGTCTGTCCGTCTGTCTCATCTGTCTATTTATATAACTGCCCAACTCAATGCATAAATGACTCCAGGAGGCTTACAAAATTTTAAAAAATCCATCATATAATAAAAATTCATAAAAAACCTTAACCTACCTCCCGTGGCGGCAACAACATAATTAAATCAGCCATTCGGTTGGTTCCATCGTTTTGTTTTAAATCAAATTGTAAAGTCTATTAATGAACTGCAAGTTGTTTTAATTTGTTGAATCTACAGGGGTCCAATAGAAGCATAGTAATGTGACGTGAACCATTTGTGTGCAATGACACCACGTTGCAGCCGGTGTTATTTGCTCTCCTTTGCAGTCCCAGCAACACCCTTGGATGTCTGCAGGGGAGACAAATGAGATCATATCAATTGTAGAATTTGATCATATGTGGGAGGACATCACAATGTGTGTAATGTCACTGGCTTTCCTGTCTCCTCCTTCTAGAACCCTGTGCTAGGATCCAGACAAGTTAGAATTCTTTCATCAGTGAAGTGTTGGATACTTCTGTCTTCAATTAAGACACATTCCGACCCAATTTTGTGTACTGGTTAAGGTGTTGACCTGGAAACCAGCAGACCATGAGTTCTCATCCTGCCTTAGGCATGAAAGCTGGTTGCATGACTTTGGGCCAGTCACACACTCACAATCCAGCCCACCTCACAGGGTTGTTGTTGCAGGGAAAATAGGAGGAGGACAGATTATTATGTAAAATTGAATCTGGGTCAGTGCTGGGTCCTGCCAGGTCTTGCCATCAAAGGCTGGAGTGGGTGAGGAGGCGACAAATGGGCAATATGATTGGGTGTATGAAATGACAGGTGATGAAGCCCAGAGAAGCCCAGAACCAGTTTGTACCAGAGGCACCAAGGCCATGCACCCTGGGAAAGGAATGTGAATTGCCCACAACATCTCAGTGTTCTCATAACATTTTGGCGAGCTCCAATTGACGAAACACAGACTGGTCACAGGGGGAACGGAGACAGGAATCTTTTCTGTATCTTTTTCATGCAGGGAAACCTTAGAGCTAGTCTGACTTTACCGCAATCAACTTCCTTCAATAAAAGAACCTTATACTTCAACCTAATGGAGTCGAGGGTCTTTCTTTCCTAAGGGATCAGATTGGGGCAGGTCTGACAGTTGGTCAATGGGTCCAGAGGTTTACTCTTCCAAGCTTTTGGACTCATGCTGGAGCCCATCTCCAGGGAATTTCTCTCTTCCATCTCTCTACTGGAATATTTGCTTTCGGCTTTTCTGTGAGTCATATTTATGTGATCCCTTCCTGTTACTTGATTGGTATGTTGATGGCTGGCAATTGGCTATTGTTTCCTTGTGCTGCAAAGTCTTTAGCTCCTAAGTAGCTGATAAACTGGTGGTAAATCAGCACTCCTGTTAACTGACATGGGATCTGCTTCTTTTTTTTTTTTTTAATTTGATTTATATGCCGCCCTTCTCCGGAGACTCAGGGTGGCTTACAGTGCGTTAAGCAATAGCCTTCATACTTTTGTATATTATATACAAAGTCAGCTTATTGCCCCCACAAACTGGGTCCTCATTGAAAAGATGGAAGGCTGAGTCAACCTTGAGCCTGGCAAGATTCGAACTTACTTTAATTTCATTTCCCTGGCCATCTTTGTACGTACTCGGCCAACAATCTTAGTAGCTGTGAAATTAAATGCATGCCCTCGTTCATTACAACGAGAGGCTACCAATGTTCAAGTCTCCTCATCTGACCATTGCTTGTGTTCTTGCAGTCTGGTGGTTGGTTCTTTCCCGTCTGTCCTATTTATTATTTATTATTATTTATTTATTTATTTTTATATGCCGCCTTTCTCCGGAGACTCAGGGCGGCTTACAATGCGTTAAGCAATAGCCTTCATACTTTTGTATATTCTATACAAAGTCAGCTTATTGCCCCCACAATCCGGGTCCTTATTTTACCCACCTTAGAAAGGATGGAAGGCTGAGTCGACCTTGAGCCTGGTGAGAATTGAACTCGCAGTAATTGCAGGCAGCTGGATGTTAAATGCTGCCTTAGTAGGAGGCATTAGCCTCCTACGCCACTCAGGCTCTACATAGTCCCAAGGGTAATCCATGCAGGGGATCCGGTAGATTTGGTAGATTTGCCTTCATTCATGGGTATTATGTAAATTTTCTGCCTTATGTATAAAAATAATAAAGGCAGGATAAAAATCTAATGAATAAATAAATTTGATGTCAGGCCAATTCTCTCTTGTTTCAGAGGAAGATGCAGGCCCTGGACCACCAGCTGGCACGGCAGCTGATGCGGCTGCGGGCCCAGATCCATCAGCTGAAAGTGGAGCAGGCGTGCCATCGCCACAAAGAGATGCTGGATGATGCCACCTTTGAACTGGAGGGCTGTGAGGAGGACTCGGACCTGCTCTGCAACATTCCCCCCAAGATGGCCTTCCTCCTGTCTACCCCTCTCAAGCACATTGGAGTCACCCGCATGAATATAAACTCACGCCGCTTCTCCTTGTGCTGATGGACCTTCAACCCATTGCATGCTTGCTCGGCGCTTGTGGCTGTTGGCAACCAGGAAGTATCTTGGCTCCCATTGCCTGCATCTATAGATTTTGCACCCATGTAGAGCAACCCATGTCTCGCCTGGCTGATCTGCTCTGGGCCCACAAACATACCTGGACTGCAGTGGTGAAATCTAAAATTTGTTACTACTAGTTCTGTGGGCATGGCTTGGGGGGGGGGAATGTGACTGGGTGGCCGTGGCCGGTGAAGAGGTTGTAAAAAATGCTTTCAAAAGGCTCTGACGATCCCAGCTGAGTTGCCTGATTGGCAGAGGCTTTTTTTCTTTTAAAAGCCTCTGCCGATCAGGCAACTCAGCTTGGATCGTCAGAGGCTTTTAAAAGAAAAAAAAGTCTCTGCCGATCAGGCAACTCAGCTTGGATCGTCAGAGGCTTTAAAAGAAAAAAGCCTGAATAGGTTGTAGAAAAAATGCTTTTAAAAGCCTTTGATGATCCCAGCTAAGCCGCACGTTCATCAGAGGATTTTAAAAGCATTTTTTCGGCCGAAGAGAAAAAATGTTTTTAAAAATTTTAAAAAAAGCCTCTGATGATCACGTGGCTCAGCTTGGCATGGGGGGGGGAGGGGGCAGGGATTTTTGCTAACGGTTCTCCGAACCACTCACCTCCATTGTTACCGGATCAGGCGATCCGGTCCGAACCGGGAGCATTTCACCCCTGCTGGACTGGCAATCAGAGAGGTAAGATGGTAGACAAAATACATCCTCCTAGTAGAAAGTACCCTGTTTTCCCCAAAATAAGACATCCCCTGATAATAAACCCAATTGGACTTTTGAGCGCATGGCAATAAGGCCAAGCGCTTATTTCAGGGTTCAAAAAAATATAAGACAGGGCCTTATTTTCGGGTAAACATGGTAGGGAAGTCTAGAGAACTGCCTGGGGCAGCCTTTCTTCGGGTGAAGCACCTCTCAGGGAGGGAAGTTTTGCTACTTAGAAAAAGGAGATGAAAAGCAGGGAGCAATATGGAACAAGAGGGACAATGGGTACCCTTTTGGTGATTCACAGGCCAAAGCAGCGTCTGTCAGAGAACAAACTGCAGGTTCAGAGAAGGGCCAGCCCAAAGTTTAGCCAGCAATGCATGCAAAAAAGGGGCAGGGTTCACAAGCTGCATCTCGACTTTTTGGGCCTCCCCTCCCTTAAGGTCTTCTATGCTGTGGCTTTCTGGACTGTCCTGTGGTCCTGGCTAAGGATGCAGGAGGGGCAATGACCTCAAGGGAATTTTTTTTTACTGGTTGATGTGTCCCTTTTACTTGGAAGGCTGATCACCCTTTGGCTGCCCCTCATTTATTTTGCCCACTTATGTTTTAAAAGCTTGCTAATTTTTATTACATGTCAGGCTTTGAGAAGCTCCGATAAGTTAAACACTTCAAAAAGAAGCAATAAAAGGCACATCTCTTGAGCATTGTGTGTTGTTTATGAATGTGTACCTTTGCACTCTGCCTCAGCCCAGCTTCACTTCAGCTTTAGACCGGTTGGGCTTTCCAAGAGCTTTTTTTTTTTTTTAATTTGATTTATATGCCGCCCTTCTCCGGAGACTCAGGGCGGCTTACAATGTGCTCAGCAATAGCCTTCATCCTTTTGTATATTTATACAAAGTCAGCTATTGCCCCCACAACTGGGTCCTCAATTTACCTACCTTAGAAAGGATGGAAGGCTGAGTCAACCTTGAGCCTTGGCGAGATTCGAACCCTGCAGTAATTGCAGGCAGCTGGTCTTAATAACCAGCTTAATAACAGGGTGCCTTAAACCCCTGTACTACCAAGGCTCTTTCCCCCCCCCTTTTTTCCTTTTTCCCTGTACTACTAAGGCTTTTCCCCTTTCCTCTCTGTTTACAAATTCTAAAATGGAGCAAGAAATGAGCACCAACCGCCCCCAGTTCAGAGCAGCTGTATCTTTCTCTGATTGCATTCTAATTGTGCAAGCTGTTCTTTTTAGGGGGTGAGAATGGCACTCAGTCCATGTCCCAGGGAGCACAACAATCATCCCTGCTTTAATGCCTTGGGTACAGGGACTGTACGTTGCAACAGCCAAGAGTCTTATGCTATGTGAGTACAGGTAGGCCTTGACTTATGACTGGTTCCTTAGCGACCATTCAAAGTTATGACCTACCTGCCAAAAGGCAGTGATGACCCAGTTCCAAAGTTCCCATGGTTGCCCCCTACCCTAGAAGTCATGTGACCACACTTCAGGCACTTGGCAACACTGTCCATTTATAGCTGTTCGTAGCAACCACGCTTTATGATGGTTTTGCTGAAAACTGAAAATTACTGCCAGTTTTTGGTGGAGCAGCGGACTAAAGCGCTGTTAAATAGCACTTAGCTGCCAGCTGCCTGCAATTACTGCAAGTTCAAATCTCACCAGGCTGTTGTTCCTACCACCCATCTCCTTCCACTTATGACTGTATGACTGTAATTTTCTTGCTTGTATCCTTACGATTTCTATTGATATTGTTTCCTGATTGCTTATTTGTACCCTATGACTATCATTAAGTGTTGTACCTTATGATTCTTGACAAACGTATCTTTTCTTTTATGTACACTGAGAGTTTATGCACCAAGACAAATTCCTTGTGTGTCCAATCACACTTGGCCAATAAAAAAAAGAATTCTATTATAAAATATTTTATATTGTATTATAAAATCAATATCATTGAACATTTCTTTGTTATTTCAACAAATTATCATTGGTAATTTCACAGAGCTTATTCGTTAGTACCTATAGGAATATTTAAGACAGTTCAAATGTTCCTGTTGGTAATGGGGTCATACATTATTACCCAAAGAAAAACCACTTTTATCCAATTTTGGGTGATTTTTTCTTTGGGAAGCACTGCTGTAAAGGGTATTTCCTCTGTTCAGTGACTTTTCTTCCAACATGATGCATGTGCACATGTTAACATACCTCCATCAACACACCACATCCTTCTTGGCCCTGCCCTTGCCATTTTTAACAGTGTACAACCAGGGCTCTTGTGGTTACATTAGCAAGCTTGGCACAATTAATAAAATACATGAAAAGAAACTCCAGAGATCATGATTCTGTTGCTCTTTGTGATCTCTGCTCACTTCTACTTTTCTTGCCTTGGCAATATTCTTTATTAGCAATCTTTATTATGGTTTATTAACCAGCAGGAAGCAAATGTAACCATGCGGTAAATGTAACTCTGGATTAATGCTTTTCAATTTTGGAAATTTAAGACATGTGAATTTCAATGTCCATAATTCCCCAGCCAGTATGGGTTAAACCTATAGGTTTAAAATAAATAAAAAGAGTATATAGAAGAACTTTCAACTAAAAGGAATATTTGGAACAGAAAAGGCTAAGATGAATGACAATAACACAAGAATCCCCTTAAAAATGAAACCAAAAAATTCAGAGGGAAATCAAGAAAAAAAAATTTAAGGACTGCAGATTTCACTTACAAATAAGCCTCTGACAAACCCAGCAGTTTCTGTGGGTTTGATTAACTGGATCTACAGAAAATAAAGCATAAACTCCACTGAAAAGACTAAGACAAAAATCGGTCCAAAACTTAAAGTTGAGAACAAGCCATGTTTGGCTAACCATGAAGAACTGAGTTCAGCAGCTCTTAGTGATGATCATAAAGATTATTTTATATGCATCCATACAAAACCAAGCTAAATTGCCCATAATCTCAAGATTAATGTCCAAAAGGAGGAAATGCTTTGCAAGGTTGCCATCAGGCATTGTTCTTGTCACTAGACCCGAAAAGGAAAAAGTTCACGCAAGAACAACCAAATTGATGAAATTGGAGTAGGCAAATAGAAGAGAGGGGATAGAGGCTTGGAACAACGTGTGTGGAATGCAAAATATGGAAAAAGCCATTCTTCCTCCTTTTTCACAATATTAGTACTCCATCAAAGTGAAACATCAGCAGATTCACCACTATTCAAAGTAAGAGATTTTTTTAAAATTCAAGGCAGAGTTAATTTATGCCATCAGATATGGTGACCATCCTTGGCGTATCCATAACTAAAGAAGAATTGGACAAATTCATGAAGAATCAGGCCATCTGTAGCTACTATCCTTAATCATGGCACCTTCTTGAAAGTAGTTGTTGTTAGTCACGAAGTCGTGTCCGACCCATTGCGACTCCATGGACAGTGTTTCTCCAGGCCTTCCTGTCCTCTACCATCCTCTGGAGTCCATTTAAGCTCACGCCAACTGCTTCAGTGACTCCATCCAGCCACCTCGTTCTCTGCCATCCCCTTCTTCTTTTGCCCTCCATCGTTCCCAGCATTAGGTTCTTCTCCAGTGAGTCCTTCCTTCTCATTAGGTGGCCAAAGTATTTGAGTTTCATTTTCAGGATCTGGTCTTCTAAAGAGCAGTCAGGGTTTAACTTCCCCAAGACTGACCGGTTGGATCGCCTTGCAGTCCAAGGGACTCGCAGGAGTCTTCTCTAGCACCAGAGTTCAAAGGCCTCAATTCTTTGGCGCTCAGCCTTCCTTCAGGTCCAACTTTCACAGCCATACATTGCAACTGGGAAAACCATGGCCTTGACTATACGCACTTTTGTTGGCAGGGTGATGTCTCTTCTTTTTAGTATGCTGTTGAAAGTAGTGGATTATTGTTAACACTGAGAAAGACAGAAAGAGAGGTTGGCTGCTCTGAGGAGGGGGTGAGGGTTGCTTGATAGACCAGGTGGGCCCTTGGATGGATCTGACCAGTAGTCCTTTCAGAATGTCCATGAGGACTATCAAAACAGACATTTTTTTAAAAATCATGCTCTCCTTCCTAGTTAATTATTCCAGTGATATATTTTTGTGAGTAACAAACAAAAGTGGGCCTTATTCATTATCTTCAACTGCAAAATTCCCCCATAGGCATTTTGTTCCAGAAAATATCCATAAACACTATCCCTTTTCAAATGAAAGAACCAACCTGTGAATCATTCAGCCATCAAGTGTTGGGTATGACTTTAAGTTTCAGAGTATATGAATGAAATCTAATTAATTGGAATGTCAGGATGAGGGACCAAAAATCAATGCGGGGGGAGGGGGGCAGCACAATCATCTGAACTTGGTTGAGCTTGATGTCAGCATGTCTCGTTTTTCACACGTTTTCTGAATAATTTTTATCCCAGAGTTATAACTGCACTCAACAATGAACTAAAGGGCTACCATCAGAGAGCTGTTGGACAGCATTATGTGGTTTGTTGTGTGGATGTTTGGGTGGTTTAGGGGTAGGGAATTTGTGGTGGGAGGGGGGTGTTTGGGGATTGTTATGTGTGTTGGGCCTGGTCTTTGGCTGTTAAGTGTATTTCATTGTATGGGTATACTGTGTATATACGTACAATGACAATAAAGTTATTATTATTTTTCCAGGTTGATGTCAGCAATTCTCATTTTTCCAGGTCCAGTAGAAGAGCAATTCCTTAAACTGTTTCCTGGCTAGTTGAGAAAGGAGAATCACTAGCTCTCTAGTGATTCTTTGTGAGGAAAATCAAGCCAAGAGAAAGCAATGAGAATATGAGATCCCTTTGGACCCAATCTGGAGCATGGAGCCCTCTGACATTTAAATGAATGTCTGGAAGCATTCCTGAAACATCCTTTGAATCCGTACTGTCTCTGTCTTCTTCCCAGTGTAATGGTTCCCAGAGTTCAAAAGGCACAAAGCCTTTGTCAAGGCTGCACACCTTGTGGCTCAGAAGATCCATAGGGGGCCAGCTGCAAGATTCAGCTATAGAACTACAGAAAGCAGGGGGTTGAGGCTGGCAGGAAACTTTTGGGGTTTGTGAACTGCTTTAGAACTTTTTGTGGTCAAACAAGTGCTACAAACACATTTCTGGTGCTGCCTCTGCAGAGATCTTAGAGGGCAGGAAATCAGCAGGAAAGGTGGCAAGAAAGAGAGAGAGAGAGAGAGAGAGAGAGAGAGAAAGGAGAGAGAAGTGAAGAAATCTTTGATCTTCTTGTCTGCAGTTCTGTCTCTGTCTAAACAGTTAATGTGGATTAACTCTGTAGTGTGATGAGGAAGACCTTTCCCTCCCTTTCAAATTGTGGGAACCAAGGAGAAACTGGTTTCTTCCACCCCAACTAAAAGTAAGTAATGGAGAAGAACTGAGAGAAGGCTGACTTCCAGACCCAAGAGTAGGGCAGGGCAACTGTCAGGGTTCCGACGGATGCCCTAATTAAATCATGGTTTAATTAGGGCATTGGTCACAACCCTGACAGCAACTATGGCCTCTTTATGTGGCTTTCAACTTCCAGAATTCCCCAGCCAGCAAGAAGAAGGTTACCCGTTCTTTGGCTCTTTGGGTGGGATTTTCTCCCAAGGGATCACCTCCAGATGTTCTTCTCACGTTTTGTTCTTTGGGAGTTGTAGGTGATATTGAGGACTGACATTTGCTTGGGCTGTAAGTGAATGTTATTATTGTTTACATATCTTTTTTGTTGGTTGGTTTCTAAGGATTCAATTTAACACCAACTCTCTAGAAGTTATAGTTAAACGTGTAGTTTAACTACTAATGATAATTAACTGATTTGTAAACAAGAAGTAGAAGATGTTATGACTGCAATCTTTGTCCCAAATATGCTTTCTTTCAAAAGGCAGCTGGACAGAAGAAAGTCCTTTGGGACAACCATCACCTGGATGACTAAGAATCTCCATAGACTGCAATCTTTTTTTTCTCTATTTTTAAATTAAGGAGATATATACAAAGTGTGTTAAGTGAACGAGGGAGAGATACTAACGATCTTCAGGCATTTGTTCAATTTATATCTTTTGTTTGGGTTGAATTTTCAAGGCATCTTATGGCATCAAGCGTGCAATCAACACAAGAGAAGATAGGATCATGGCAAACAGGCCCATCCATAACATACCGTAAAATATACATGAGCAATAAAACAAAATGCTTGTTTGTAGAAATGTTATGAAGTAAATCTTAATGGGAAAACAATAAATGCAATTTAGTGACAGCAAAAAAAGACATATGAGAAATACAAGGGGTACAGGAAGCATTCAGGACTTCAAGGAAATGAATTTAGACATTACATGAAATGTTAGAATGTTAGTTGTCTCCTAAATGTGTTGAGCTTCAATTGCTTTCAAAATCCTGCCAATTTGTTGGGGAAGGGAGGTACTTACAACCATTCACTTGACAACTGTTCAAAGCTAAAATGACCCTGAAAAAGTGACATACAAGTGGTCCTCACACTTATGACCATCATAGCATTCCCACGGTCACATGATCAAAATTCAGGCAGTGGGCAAGTGGCATGTATATACAATGGTTGTAGGATCCTGGTCATGTGATCACCATTCTGGGACCTTCCCAGATGGCTTCCGACAAACAAAGTTAATGGCAGAATCCGAAGTGGTGCTAACAACCACTTGATTCCCTTTAAAACTGTCGTCATTTGCATAACAAACATAGCAAGAAAGATTATACTGCTGGATGCAACTCACATAAGAACCACTTTGTTCAGCAACAGAAACTCTGGTCCCAATTGTGTTTGTAAATCAAGGACTATGTCTAACAATTTAGTTTCAAATTAGCAATATCTGGCAGTTACATAGCAATGTAGGATACCGTACATTTCTAAAAATCAATGTCTCTGAATTTGTGGGGGGTAGCCAACTTTGGGTCTGTTATTCTCTCCAAGCCTAGCAATTTACCTGTGAAAATTACGGTATTATCAAGAAAATGTCATAGACTTGTCCGGACAGTTGCCTGGGATCAAGACTGACCTGAAGGCACACACCAATAAAACCTTGCTCTGGGCCCTGTACTGATCCTGCCAGGTTATCTTTGTTCACTTTAAGGACAATCTCATTCTCTTTGGATTGGTCAGAAATACATCCCAAAGTGAGTAAGGTAAGGGTGAGAATTCAACAGAGCTCTTTTTGGAAGCTGCATCGATGTGGATCATTTGGATTTATGCTCCTTAAGCCATTGTTAAAAATGCAGGATTATTATCAAGAAAAAAAGGTATTATCTGGCACACTTGTTAGAGGTTGGGGCCATTTTGTTTATTTTGTACAGTAGGTCTCTAAAATGTTCTTCCAGGAAGTGCTACAGGCAGTCCTTCTTTAGAATCTATTTCAGAATGACACGTTTGGAAGGGGTCATTTAGACCATGGCTTACACACACACACACACACACATACATACACAAACACACCAGTCGGTTAAGATATTGTATTGCAAAGCTGTCAGAAGTCCAAAAACTTTAGCCTGCTTTCTGACATTAAAAAAATACAGAATATTTGAATGAAGACTACTTCATTACAGACAAACCAATAAAACTGGGGTATCCTATTAACAAAGGCAGTTTCTGTTTTTTTAACCTTGGTTTTTTTCACCCCACCTTGGTTGACTATAATTTGCTGCCCCCAACACTATATTGTGATGGAACTATTTTTTTAAAAATTATTTTTTACAAATGATCTCCAGTTCAGTCTTCAGTGTTTCCAAGTACAGTTGGAAGTCCTTGTCATCTAAATTTTGCAAAGCTACTGCTTTGTCATGACATGGAGCAAATGGACAGGGAGAAAGTTCTTTTTGACCCCTAGAACCAAGATCATCTAGTGCAGCTAATCCACAGAAGATTTAGAAAAGACAAAAGAAAGCACTGTCTTAAGAGTACACGATTGGCCTGTGGAATTCATTACATGATGTGGTGATGGGCATAAAGTCAGATGGTTTTAAAAGGGAGATAAATTCAAAAGGGAGACAAATTAGACAAATTCAAGGAAGACTTCCAAGGTCTCTTCTAACTTCGTTGTTCTGTTATTCTGTTAAGGAAGATAGCAATAGCAATAAGACTTGTATAACCCTTCACAGCCCTCTCTAGGCAATTTACAGAGTCAGCATATTGTCCCCAACAATCTGGGTCTTCATTTTACCGACCTTGGAAGGATGGAAGGCTGAATCAACCTTGAGCCAGTGAGAATCAAACTGCTGGCAGTCAGCAGAATTAGCCTGCAATACTGCATTCTAACCACTGTGCCACTATGGCTCTTCGTCTGTCAGACAAATGTCTAAATGTCTATTAAGGACAAATGGTCTTAAATAATCAATGCTACTTTTGGGATGGGACATGGAGCTCACAAGTACCAGATTAAGGGGACGATCCAGGAGAAAAGGTTTCCTCAGATATAGCTGGGTAGCCATTGTAAGAAACATATCCTAGGCTAAGATAGGTCCTAGCTTGGTCCATGAAGGCTTTCCTTGAGTTCTTATGAACCTGACTTGAGTAATATGTATACAAGTAGTCCTTGACTTATGACTGTAATGGAGCTTGGAATTTCCATTGTAAGTCATAACTGTTGTGGCCCGCCAGCAGCCTGTGCAGATCGTGGCTGATCCCGACGACGAGGAGGCTGGTATGGGGTCGTGCCAGCCGCCTGCGCAGCCGGCGCTCGCGTCGGACAGCGAGGAGGCTGAAGAGGATGTGGTGCCAGAGGCAGAGACTCAGCCACGGCCTTCAGAACCTCCAGAGGCTCCTTCAAGTGGAGAGAGCAAAGTGGAGGAGCTCTCCTCAATGCTCGAGCACGCAGGGCTGCCAAAAGGCAGGAGTGGCTACTCAGGAGGAGGAGGTCTCCTTGAGAGTAAAGCTTGAGGATACTTGGCCACTCCCTTAGCCTATTTAAGTCACACACAGTTAGTAAGTTTCTTGCTGGAAACAACTTGTAATTATCATCAGAGCATTTTTGGAAAAGTTTTATCGTATCTTGTTTTCTGGGCTAGTTGCCAACCTTTGCCGGACTTTGGTTTATTCTTGCTACTTAATAAATTTGATAAGGACCGTTGGTGTGTGTCAATATCCTTGGGAATCTGGAGCTGGGGCAGAACAATAACAATCATAAATCAAGGCACCCATTTGACTGATCTGATTTTATGACATTTTTTTGCAATAGTTGTTAAGTGAATGCTGCAATCGTAAAGTGAGTCACTGTATTGCTATGTTTTTTGCTAGTTTTTTGCTAGTTTCCAGAAAAAAAATCATAAATCATGTCACACGACTGGCTATAAAGGCAAGCCAGTTGCCAAATGCCCATAAAGTGGTCACAGGAAGGTCTGTCTGTAATTTTGAATGGTTGCTAAGCATGGTCATAAGTCAAGGACTGCCTATATTAAATCCTTTCTTTATATGAAGCACTTTCCAATGGAGAGCTGCTGCTCAAGATTCAAAGGACTAACAATGACCACTGTACCTTAGGCTGTGGATGAGAGTTATTCACTGTATAAATGCTGGAGAAGTAGAGTTGACAAGAGGGCAATGCATTGTTGCTAAGCAATTCCATTCTTTTTTTTTAAATTTAAAATTTTTATTTCTCATAAACACATTTACATGTACAGTCATTTGTCCATCATTTTTCATTCATCTTTTCTTTTAATTTTAATTTTTACTTTTTCGGGGCTGCTCTTTTACCCTTTACCTTTACTCCAACCTTTCTTCTTCTCCTCCCCTTCTCTTCCTTCCTCTTTTTCCTCCTACTTCCTTCATTCTTCCTCTCCTTCTCTTTCCTACTTCCCCTTCTCTTCCCCCACTCCTCTCTTCTTCCCCCCTTCTAACCTTCTCTTCTACTCCTCTTTCCCCTCCCTTTTCTTCCTCTCCTTTTCCCTTTCTTCTTTCTCCTCTCCTCTTCTCCCTTCCTCTCTCTCTACTCCTTCCCCTCTCTCCTGTTGTTTCCCTTTTCAGTTAAATCTAAAGTGGTATTAGAGCAGCCCCGATTTTCTAATTATCTTTATTCTCATTTCAATTTCTTATTCCATTATTATTTATTTTTATTTCATCATTTGCATACATTTTTATAAACTCTCACTTTTTCCCTTTTACCCCCCTCCCCTTTCTCCTTTTACTTGGCATCCTCTGGGTTTCTATTTTTCTAATTGTTTTCTCCCATCTATTCTCTTTCTATTTTGTCTCTATATCCTTATTCATATTTCCTTTCTAACCAATCATAACATTTATCCCATGTCTTGAAATACATCGACTCCTCTTTATCTTTTATTCTCAATGTTAATCTATTCATTTCTGCACATTATAAAATTTTCTTTATAATTTCTCCTTCCAGCAGGATTTTATCTGCTTTCCAGTTTTGTGCAAATACAATTCTAGCTGCTTGAAGGCTCCAGTTTCTGCCTATGTCCTTGTCTGGGGCCCTGGAAAAAAAATAAATCTTTTTCTGCTCACCAATCTGTTGAGGGAAGCAGATATGGAAGTTCTTCCTTATTTCTGAGAGAAATGACATTATGGTGCAGAAGTGGAGGTACTAATTTAGGATTGGGAGACCAGAATACTGGTTCTCCATCAGCCATGGAAGTTCCTTGAATGACTTTTGAGGTTCATCACTCTCTTTCATGTAACTTCCTGGGGCGATTGATGTGGGGAAAAATAGGAACAAGGAGTGCTATGAAGCCTATAAGAAAGGTGGGATATATAATCCATCAATCAATTGCTCTATTCTTCTCACTGTTGTATTAATATGCAATTGTTGACAACAAAAATGTTAGCATAATTTGTGCTTTTTTCCAATGGCTAATCATAATGTGCCTCAGCAATGAGGTTTGCATGTAGCCAGTCCATTCAGCTTGACCATGGGACAATTTTAGAGCAGCATTTGATAGATTTTCCCACTAGGCATCACTAACAGGAAAGACATCCACCAATGATGGAAAGTGTGATGTAGTGTGGCTGGGGGCTTAGGATGGAGGGCAGGTGCAGATGCTCCTTGCCAGCAACCTATATCTCAGGCTATTTCTGAATATGAGTTTATTGATCTTCTAGGAAACTGGTAAACCTATGTCCAAAAGTAGTCCACCTAATAGGTTGGTGGGGCAGAAGAGGAGTCTGAGCTGATGTGGGAGGCAGTTTGCATAGCACTTAGAGAGCATTCCGTGATTCCTTTATATCTCACCAACTTTCAGTTAAGGTCAGAGGTGGGTTTCAGCAGGTTCTGACGAGTTCTGGAGAACCGGTAGCGGAAATTTTGAGTAGTTTGGAGAACCGGTAGTAAAAATTCTGGCTGGCCCCACCCCCATCTATTCTCTGCCTCCCAAGTCCCAGCTGATCAGGAGGGAATGGAGATTTTACAGTATCCTTCCCTTGGAGTGGAGTGGGAATGGAGATTTTACAGTATCCTTCCCTTGCCACACCCACCACACCCACCAAGCCACGTCACGCCCACCAAGCCACACCCACAGAACCGGTAGTAAAAACATTTGAAACCCACCACTGGTTAGGGTATATTTGGACACAGGTTTACTGGTCTTCCTATCACTTGGGGTGGAGTTGAAAATTAGCCAGACTTTTACCAATTTCTTAACAGCTTCCAAATTGCTGAGGAGTTGGTAGCACTTGGTTGTGGTTTTCAGCACCCAGAAGTATCTCATGGACTATGTATCAACTTTCTTCTTTTTCATTTGTTGTAAACATTTCTAAAGCCCTTTCTATATTTTGCTTATTTCATTCTCCTCTATTGCTTTGAAGATCTTGACAATTTAATATAAAGCAGTACATTTTATACTTGCTTGATATAAAAAAATGATTAAGGTTATAAAGAGAGGAGAAGAGGAAGAGGATTCCAGACTTCAAATGGCCCAGTGCCTGTTCAGAAAGTGCTTTTCCAAGTACGGCAAAATGCAAAATGTTCTTTCAGCCTCCTATAATTTAGTGCTATACAGGTAGTCTTTGACTTACAACGGTGCTGAAAAAAGTGACTTATGGTTGTTTTTCACACTTATGACCGTTGCAGCATCCCCGTGGTCATGTGATCGAAGTCCGGATGCTTCACAACTGATGGTTGTAGTGTCTCGGGGTCAAGTGATCATCTTTTGTGACCTTCTGACAAGCAAAGTCAATGGGGAAGCCAGATTCACTCAACAACTGCATGATTCCTTTAACAACTGTGGTGACTTACTTAACAACTGTGGCAAGAAGGGTCATAAAACAACTGTCTTGCTGAGCAACAGAAATTTGGGACTCAATTGTGGTCGTAAGTTGAGGACTACTTGTACTACCTCTTGAGGGATATCAGAATTGGTTGATCCTGGGAAAATGCGATTTCCAAGAATTGCCTGTTTCACCAACTTAGTGTACCCACTATGATACAACCTGCTCTAGGCAAGTGATTGTATTGCAGTAGTTGCGAATATCTGTAGCTCTGGTGTAGGGTGAGAGTGAAGGTTCGTTTTCCAAGCTTGTGGGTTGGTTTCTGGACATTTCGTTACTACTAGTAAGATGTTACTAGGAAACATCTTCAGCGGAGTTTAGGGGATATCAGTGTCGGTGTTTTGTCTATATATTTATATTTCTGGAATTAACCTGTTAGTTAATTCCCAGGAATATCATGAATGATGGGCAATCTATTTTGTTGCAAATTCATTTCATTTTGCATTTATTTATTTATTTATTTTCATTTCTAATTTCATGTGATTTGCTGAAGATCTTAGATGTTTGGAGTTTTGAACCTGGGCTCATGACTCAGTCTCCTTTCCTGTCTTTGCAGACATTATGGGTTGCTGCTACAGTTTAGACTATGATGATGATTGGGCTATAGATGCTGAGATTTGTGAGGTGTGTCACTATCCTATTGATCCAGCCACCAAGCCGCAGGTGAGAAATCTCATTTATTGCTCTGGTATGCTCATCCCATAACTCCTTTTTGAAAACACGTTGGGGACCTATTGAATGCATGGTATACTTTACTGTCCTGTATAACGCCATGTTTCCCAACCTTGGCAGTTTTAAGGTGCCCATTTTAAAACTGCCAAGGTTGGAAATACTGGTATAAAGTCTCACCCCAAAGCAGTGGTGAAATCCAAATTTTTTTACTATCAGTTCTGTGGGCGTGGCTTGGTGGGCATGGTGTGGCTTGGTGGGCATGGCTTGGTGGGTGTGGCAGGGGAAGGACACTGCAAAATCTCCATTCCCTCCCCACTGCTGGGGGAAGGATATTGCAAAATCCCCATTCCCACCCCACTCTGGGGCCAGCCAGAGGTGGTATTTGCCGGTTCTCCAAACTGCTTAAAATTTCCACTATCAGTTCTCCAGAACCTGACAGAACCTGCTGGATTTCACTTCTGCCCCAAAGGTTCTCCACCCTGATTTATGTATTCCAACTTTTCTTTCAAATACGTGTTTGGTCTCTGGCCAAGTTTTATACCTGATTTCACAGCTGACAGGATCAATTTTCATTTTAGCCAGATCAGGAAATATGGAGCATCATAAGATTATCAGATAATAATAATAATAATAATAATAATAATAATAATAATAATAATAATAATAATAATAATAATAATAATAATTTCATTTGGGTGAGGAAGAAGCATTTTAGTTCCGGCTTTCTTCCATCACATTTGAAAATGGTTCTATCTCACTTTTTACCTCTCTTGCAATTAAAGCATCTTTGATATCAGTTAGCATTGTTTCTCCTGCAGAGACCCACTTTAAATGGTTCTGAGTTGCACACTCCTCTGTTGCCAGCCGAAGGGATTCCTCCTCCTAGTTCACCCCTTCAAGGTAAGTGTTTTATTTTTCCTTTCAACTTTGGATGTTGGCCAAGGCTGTGCAAAGACTATCTGGATTTCTTAGCAATGCAATAAATCTATGGCATTTTAGGATTGGTTGGCAAGTCGAGGGGATGGGGCAGTGATGAAATCCAAATTTTTTACTACTGGTTCTGTGGGCATGGCTTGGTGGGTGTGGTATGGCTTGATGGGCGTGGCAGGGGAAGGATCCTGCAAAATCCCCATTCCCTCCCCACTCTGGGGCCAGCCAGAGGTGGTATTTGCTGGTTCTCCGAACTACTCAAAATTTCCGCTACCAGTTCCCTAAACTGCTCAAAATTTCTGCTACCAGTTCTCCGAACTGCTCAAAATTTCCACTACTGGTTCTCCAGAACCTGTCAGAACCTGCTGGATTTCACCCCTGGGTTGGGGGCAAACGTAGGGCAGAGAACAAAATAAGGGGACCACATCAACAGGTGGGAGAGATTGCAGAAGTGTGGGCCACATCTTATGAAAATTGTTGGTCAAACTTGTTGCTCAAATATATTCAGAAGAATATTCAGATGAATCTCTCCGATGCTCCATTCCTCTAACCATACCCTATTGTTTCAGTTGTTTCAGTTGGGTCAATTTTTGCTTTTTTAGTGGCTCTTGGGTGTGTTTGAAAATGTTGAAAAAACATGGGTGCCCTGTTAAAATGGCTGCCAGGGGAACAAAAGCAATTCCCAAGCAGAACACTTTTGGCCCTTGCTTAGGTCTCCCTCCACTAATACGGGTCTCTATTAATATAATTCTTTGGCATGTCAAAAGTCAGACTGGGCAAGAAGTCTGATGCTCATAGAGGTGTCTGTGACATATTGACACTCATTGCACCACACTGGGCTCCTCAAGGACAATTCTGTCCTTTTTTATTTGCAAGCATACTCAAAAAGCTTATTACTCTTCCAAGCATTAATAAAATAAGGATAATTTCAGAATAAGCTTAAAAGATTCTAGAATAAAGCTGGGAAAAACAAAGATAAGCACACTTTCTATATACAAATTTTGCCTTGAACTCAAAGGCAAAGACTTTACCTTTGCCAAATTCTAATAGACTACCAGCAAGATAAAAGCCAAGCTAAATCTCCCATTCCTTACTATAGTAGAACTGTGGCTAATCCTTGAGTCTGAACAAGGTGTGTGTGCATCAGTGGTGGGTTCCTCCCGGTTCGGCCCGGTTCTGCCGAGCCAGTAGTGGTGACGATATGACGTCACCAAACCGGTTCTCTTTGTTTGGGAGCTGGGCCCTCCCGCCGGCCCCTGCATTATTCTTACCTTTTATTTGGCCCCGCCCCCAATCTATTCGCTGCCTCCCGAGTCCCAGCTGATCGGCTAGAAGGAAAAAAACTGTTTAAACTCTTGCCCTGGGGCTTCAAAGGGCCGCCCTACAGCTGATCAGTGTTAGAAGGCAGTGTGGTGGTAGACCAGGATGCTCCAAGAACAAATGGGTAGACCGGTACAGCTCTGCAAGCAGTTAAAAGCCTGGTAGACCAGTACCTCTGCTAAATCCTAAAGAATTGTCACATGACCATCAAACCACGCCCACAAAATAAGCCACGCCCATAGAACCGGTAGTAAAAAATTTTAGAACCTACCCCTGATGTGCATGCATGTGCGTGCATTCCTTCAGGTCAATTTTTGACTTCTGGTGACCACCTGGACAAGTCTCTGTAGTTTTTTTAGCCATTTTTTTTCAGAAGTGGTTTGCCATTGCCTCCTTCCTAGGGCTGAGAGAGGTTGACTGGCCCAAGGTCACCCAGATGGCTTTGTGCCTGAGGAGGGACTGGAACATATAGTTTTCTGGTTTCTAAAATAGTGCCTTAAAACTACATCAAACTAACTGCTTTTGCTGATAACCCCAACCAGTGGTGGGTTTCAAAAATTTTTACTACAGGTTCTGTGGTTGGTGGGCGTGGCATAGCCTGGTGGGTGTGGCTTTGTGGGTGTGGCAGGGAAAGGATACTGTAAAATCTCCATTCCCACCCCACTCCAGGGGAAGGATACTGCAAAATCCCCATTTCCTCCTGACCAGCTGGGACTTGGGAGGCAGAGAATAGATGGGGGCGGGGCCAGTCAGAATTTTTACAACCGGTTCTCTGAACTACTCAAAATTTCCGCTACCGGTTCTCCAGAACTGGTCAGAACCTGCTGAAACCACCTCTGAACCCAACTCTTATTTGTAAGACTAAGTGGACAGTAGCAGGCTAATTTGCTGTTATTTTTTCTTCTTTCAGCAAACTTTCATTCCTTGACATAAATGACATATTATTCCCAACTTTTCAAAAGCATGTCTTTTCAACAAATATTTTACTAGGGGCAATAAATGCATGTACTTCCTTTAATTGTTCACCATTTATGTATAATTCTTTGCAATTCTTTGCTCTCCTGTTAGACACCCATACCTTGACATCTGATAGATTAATTTCGGATTCAGATTCCTTCCTACATCAGAATAATCTTTACAAGTATTGCTGCAATAATCTGTAGTCTGTCAACAATATAGCATTGTTTACATGCCTACACATTTGTCTGCAACCAATACACGTCTTATGTCACAAACAGCATTTTAGAAAATATTTTCCATAAACTCATTCAAAAGCAAAAATGACAATATGATTTATTCCTTGCTCAAATATTAACTACCGTATTTTTGAAGTATAAGACGCACCTTTTTCCCCACTAAAAGAGGCTGAAAATTTGGGTCCGTCTTATACTCCAAATGTAGCTTTTTTGAAGCTTTTTTTCATGAGGTTTTTTTTAATGAGGCGCTAACGAGACAATAGCCATAGCCAGAGATCTTCCCAGCTTTGCCTGCTCCCTTGACTCTCTGCTGGGCTTTAACCAGGCACTGGCAGTGAAGCGATCTCCATGCTTTGCTCCGACTCAGCTGTTCTTTAGAAGCTTTTTTTCAGCCCTAATTAGGTGCTAGCCGAGTGAAGCGATCTCCCCTCTCCCTTTGCCTGCTTTTCTCATTGCTGCTTCCTCTCAGCTGTGCCTTAGAAGCTGTTTTTTAACCCCAAGCAGGGGATAAAAAAACCAGCAAACTAATGTGCTGAAGTTGACCAGACTAAGGACGCTAGCCAGATTAATAGGTAGGCAGATTTTTTCCCCCTATTTTCCTCCCCAAAAACTAAGCTGCATCTTATACTCCAGTGCGTTTTATACTCCGAAAAATACTAAGCATTTAAGTGATTCTCATACTCTTTGCTTCTGTCATATACCACTCTTATTGTTTTCAGCAGTCAACCAATTCCACATTCCATAACTATTTGCTTTAGGATACACTTTCTCTAAACCAACAAATTAATGATAAACTTCCTCACATTCATACATGCTTTGATGACCTGCTGAAAAGGACACATCTGTTCCACCCTGCCTAGCATAAAGTCACACTGCACTTTCTCAATTTTGATGATTGGGATGGGGAAGAAATGGTGGTAGTGACAGATTTTATTTTCCTGGGCTCCAGGATCACCACAGATGGGGACTACAGCCAAGAAATTAAAAGACGCTTGCTCCTGGGTGGAAAGCTATGGCAAATATAGATAGCATACTAGCAATAGCAATAGCACTTAGCCTTATATACCGCTTCATAGTGCTTTACAGCCTCTCTAAATGGTTTTTACAGAGTCAGCATATTGCACCCAACAATCTGGGTCCTCATTTTTTTTTAAACACTTTTTTTCTTTTCTTTTAATACAAAACATTCCATCATTCATGAAACACTGTGTTGTCTGGGTACAATTTTTTTGTGTCATAACAATTAAATCTTACCACCATGTTAATTATTTATATCTACTCTGATTTTAATATTAATGCTTAATACTTAACATATCTATTATTATAACATTTCTCTTCTTAACTTATTTAACTTTATTATACATTTTATATTTATTCTCTAACCATTGATAAAATAAATTGTAATAATCAGATTCTTCCTTTCCCTTAATTGCAAGTGTTAATCTATTCATTTCTGCACGTTCCAATATTTTCTTAATCATGTTTTCATCTACAGGTATCTCTTTACCTTTCCAATTCTGTGCAAATACAATTCTAGCCACAGTTATTACATGAATAATCAAGTATACATTTTCTTTACTATAATTACCTGGTAAAATCCTGAACAGGAATATCTCAGGTTTTAAATCAATATGCTGCTTCGTCATCTTCTCCAACTACATACAAATTCTTGCCCAGTATTTTTTTTGCTTCTATCATATCCACTGCATATGATAATACGATCCCGGTGTCTGATGGTATTTCCAACATTTATCTTTATCTTCATTTATCTTTAAACCTTTTTGCCAGTCTTTCAGGTGAAAAATGCCATCTATAAAACATCTTGTACAGATTCTCCTTGTATGCAGTTAATATAGTTAACTTATAATTCCTATCCTATAATTGCTGCCATTTATCTAGCTCTATCATATGTCCAATATTTTTTGCCCTTGCTATCATTGTTTCTTTAACTTGTTCTTCTTCTAATTTGATACTCAATAAATAACTATACAATTTTCTTATCACTCCCTCATCTGTTGCTGTTAATATCTTGTCTAATTCTGTCAATTCCATATAAAAGCCATATAATTTTGCATCTTTTTCATATCTAGATTGTATTTTTATTTATTTATTTGTCAAGAATGTATTAGGTAATTTATATATGTATAAGCATGAATTGAATATATAAAATAGATACAAATAGAGGAAACATTAGGACAGGGACGGTAAGCAGGCTGGTGCTCTTATGCACACCCCTTACAGATCTCTTAGGAATGGGGTGAGGTCAACAGTAGACAGTCTTAGGTTAAAATTTTGCGGGTTTTGGGATGAAACCACAGAGTCAGGTAGTGTATTCCAGGCATTGACCACTCTGTTGCTAAAGTCATATTCTCTGCAATTGAATTTGGAGTGGTTCACTTTAAGTTTGTATCTATTGTGTGCTCATGTATTGTTGTGGTTGAAGCTGAAGTAATCATTGACAGGTAGGACATTGTAGCAGATAATTTTATGAGCTACGCTTAGGTCAGACCGAAGATGGCGTAGTTCTAAGTTTTCTAGGCCCAGAATTTCAAGTCTGGTGGCATAAGGTATTTTGTTGCGAGCAGAGGAGTGGAGGACTCTTCTTGTGAAATATTTCTGGACAAGTTCAATTGTATTAATGTCCGATATGCAGTGCGGGTTCCAGACAGATGAGGTGTATTCGAGAATTGGTCTAGCAAATGTTTTGTGTGCTCTTGTTAGTAGTGTGATATTACCGGAGAAGAAGCTATGCAAGATTAGGTTTACAACTCTTTTTGATGATGTTGTTACAGTGGGCTTTGGCACTTAGTTCATTAGATATGAGTACTCCAAGGTCCTTGACAGAGTGAGAGTCATCTACAAGGTCGTGTCTACACAGCTTGTATTTTGTGTTCTAATTCTTTTTGCCAATGTGTAAGACAGAGTATTTGTTGGTTGAGATTTGGAGTTGCCAATTGTTTGACCATTCCGGCACAAAGTCAAGGACTTTTTGAAGGGTAGCAGCATTGTTGATTGTATTAAATATTTTGACATCATTGGCGAAGAGAACGCAGTTGCTTATAATATGATCACAAAAATCATTTAGGTACAGTATGAAAAGTGTTGGTCCTAGAACGCTGCCATGGGGGACACCGCTATTAACAGGTGCATGATTTGATAGGGCGCTCCCTATTTTGACCACTTGTTGTCTGTTTGACAGGAACACAGCTATCCAATTATGTAGGGGTCCGGAGATGCCATAGGATTTTAGTTTTAGAAGTAGTTTGTCATGTACCACTGAATCAAAGGTTTTACAGAAGTCTATGTAAATTGCTTTGCCCTGATCGAGATTTATAGTCCATAAATTTTTCCAGTGTAGGAGTTGTAGATTACAGGATAATTTTTTTCTGAAACCAAATTGTTTATTAGAGAGTAGATTGTTTGTTTCTAGATGGAGGGTAATGGATTGGTTAATGATTGATTCCATGACTTTGCAGGTGATGCAGCATAAAGAGATTGGTCTGTAATTTTCAACTAGGCTAGGGTCTCCTTTTTTCAAAGGATTTTTCAGAGATTATGCTTAGGGGTTCTGCTATAGCAGTGGAAAGCTTTTTTAAGAAGTATGCACATAGTCCATCAGGTGTGATAGAGATGGTTTTAGTCTATGTGGTGCCTTTTCAGCATTATCTTCTGTGAAATCTAATTGTGTTAGCTCGTAGTTATTTGTGGTACAACTAGGGAATGTTGAGCATGAGCCACTGCTGTTTACAAAGAGTGAGCCGAAGAATGTGTTGAAGAGGCTTGCTTTAACTGCTTCAACATTGCATTCTTTACTGTTAGGTCCTTTTAGGGGCGGGATGGATCTCAAGTCTTTAAGTTTGTTGTTTACAAAATTATAGAAGGCGCGGTTTGATCTCGTGTGCAGGAGGTTCTCTTCTTGTTTGGTGTGGTAATTGGTGCTTTCAGTCTTTATTTGGTGGCATATATTTTTGTAGTGGCTTTTAAAGTTAGCTACATAGCCAGTTTTGTTTTTTCACCAGAGGAATTTTTTTTGGGGATTGGAGCTTTCTTATTGATATGGATAATTTGTTTTTCCTGGTTTTGATGGTGATTCGTGGTACATATGGTTTAATAATTATTGATTTTGAGCAAGAAAATGTTATAATGGTCTTCAGCAGTGTTACAGCCAGAGAATAGAATTTGCCAATCAAGAGATGAGAGGTGGAAGTCTATGAGATCATAGTTGGCTTTTTTGAAGTTGTAGTTTTGTGTTTTTGAAGTTGTAGTTGTAGTTTGCAGTTGTGTATACCACACCATATCAATGCCCTGTTTTTCCAAATCTTGTTTCATTTTAAGTTTCCCCTTTTCTGACAAAATGTCCTTATATCTAACAATATTTACCATATTAATAATATTTGGATGTACAAGTGCTTCCATTGTCGAAAGCCAAACTGGTATCTTCAAATAATGTTGTTCTCTAATTTTCTCCCATACTACTAATAAAGCATTTCTTATATAATGTCTTTAAAAGTAACCATGTATCTTATTTTTCCCATACCATAAAAAGGCATGCCAACTCAATTGCAAGTCATGTCCCTCCAATGTCAATAATCTTGTATTTCTCAATACAATCCATTCTTTCATCCATGTTAACACTGCTGCCTGGTAGTATAGTTCCCAGTTTGGTAGTCCAAATCCTCCTCTGTTTCTCGCATCTTGTAACAGTTTTAAGTTGATTCTCGCCTTCTTCCCCTGCCATATAAATTTCACTATTATTTTGTTCAAATTTTCAAAATATTTTTTCTCCATTTTTTTCGGAATTGTTTGGAATAAAAGCAATGGCCTTGGTAGTATGTTCATCTTAATTGTTCCTATTCTTCCTATTAACAATAATTGCAAATTTTTCTATCTCTCCAAATCTGTCTCAATTTGTTTTATTTATTATAATTATCTTCCTTAATCGTAACACATCTTGCTGTTGGTTGAATCCCTAAGTATCTTACTTTTTAATCTGAATATCTAACTTCTGCATTAACTCCCTTTTCTGTTTCTCTGTAGCGTTTTTCACTATCTTAGTTTTCTCTTTATTAATTTTCAATCCTGCCACCTCACCATATTCTTCTATTCTTTCTAATAGTTTTGGCCCTGTTTCTTGTGGATCTTCTAAAATAAACACCAAATTGTCTGCAAATGCCTGTAGTTTATATGCCTCTTTTTTTAATTTCCATACCTTTTATCTCTTTATCCTGTCTTATATTTCTATTTAATACTTCCAGTGTCAGTACAAATAATAGTGGAGATAGAGGACATCCCTGTCTTGTACCTTTCATAATAGTCAATTATGAAAGTCAACCTTGAGCCTGGTGAGATTTGATCTGCCAAACTGCTGGCAGCCAGTGATCAGCAGAAGTAGCCTGCAGTTCTGCACTCTAACCACTGCGCCACCGTGGCTCAATACTAAAAAGCAGAGACATCACCCTGCCAACAAAAGTGCATATAGTCAAGGCTATGGTTTTCCCAGTTGCAATGTATGGCTGTGAAAGTTGGACCATAAGGAAGGCTGAGCGCCAAAGAATTGAGGCCTTTGAACTCTGGTGCTGGAGAAGATTCCTGCGAGCCCCTTGGACTGCAAGGCGATCCAACCGGTCAGTCTTGGGGAAGTTAAACCCTGACTGCTCTTTAGAAGGCCAGATCCTGAAGATGAAACTCAAATACTTTGGCCACCTACTGAGAAGGAAGGACTCACTGGAGAAGAGCCGAATGCTGGGAAAGATTGAGAGCAAAAGAAGAAGGGGATGGCAGAGAACGAGGTGGCTGGATAGAGTCACTGAAGCAGTCGGCGTGAGCTTAAATGGACTCCAGAAGATGGTAGAAGACAGGAAGGCCTGGAGGAACGCTGTCCATGGGGTCGCAATGGGTTGGACACGACTTCACGACTAACAACAACCATCTTTTATACTCATTCAGTTTGGCATTACCTTCCAAGGCCGAGTAATGCCCATGTAGTTTTGCAAATTTCTTACTCCTATCCCTGGATATAAGAATAATAGCAGGGTTTTTACAGTCACAGACACAGTCATCACATGTGTGTTAAATAAATTGCACAGATGATTCATAAGCATATTTTAACACTTCTCCAGTTATATTGCCTACACCTGTAGCCTTATTTTTGACATACTCACAACATTCATGGCTTCCTTTTCCTTCTTTTTGAATATTGATTGCATTTCTTTTGATTCCATTCTTCAATGTACCGCTATCTTTCCCATATAAATATTTAAAATACTCCTTTCAGGTTTCCCTCTCTTCAATTAACTCCAGGTGATTTCACCACTTACAGTTTTTTAAATTGTTTCACTGTATTGCAGGCTTCTGACCTAGCTCTCTTCACCCACTGAAAACAACATTTTGTGTAGAAGATGACCAGGCTGAGTCCCAGGGAGGGGGTCAAACATGTCATAAGACACGAGTCCCTGCTTGTCCGCAAGAGATTCAAGTCCAGCGCCCCTTGAATGCCTCTCTTATCTCCTGTTCATTTCCCTTAACTGCCAGGTGGTCAGATTCTTGTAGAGAGCTTAAGGTTGCAATAAATCTTTATAATCATATGAATCTACCTGAATTGCCTGAAAATTTTATATATATGTATGTATGTGTATGTAAATATATATGTGTGTGTGTAAATATATATATATATATATATAAACACATATACATACATACATATATATGTGTGTGTATGTGTATGTATGTATGTGTATATATATGTATGTGTATATGTGTGTGTGTGTATAAAGGTAAAGGTAAAAGTTCCCCTTGCACATATGTGCTAGTCGTTCCTGACTCTAGGGGGCGATGCTCATCTCCGTTTCAAAACCGAAGAGCCAGCACTGTCCAAAGACGTCTCCGTGGTCATGTGGCTGGCATGACTAAACGCCAAAGTCGCACGGAATGCTGTTACCTTCCCACCAAAGGTGGTCCCTATTTTTATTTTTCTACTTGCATTTTTTACATGCTTTTGAACTGCTAGGTTGGCAGAAGCTGGGACAAGTAACGGGAACCCACCCCATTATGCGGCACTAGGGATTTGAACCGCTGAACTGCCGAACTTTCGATTGACAAGCTCAGCATCTTAGCCACTGAGCCACTGCATCCCTTATACACACACACACACACACACACACACACACACACACACATATATACATATACACACAGAGACACATACATACATACATGTGTGTGTGTGTGTGTGTGTGTGTATTTCTTGACTCATTTGTTCCAGCAGCCATTCTCTTCAATATACCTCCTTTTATTCTCAGCCTCTTTTATGTCTGCATTCTCACCATATCCTTCCCCATGGTCTTCACACATGCCCATAGTCTTCTGCAATGTAACTCATTTCCTTCTATTCCTAGCAGCCTTTACTCAGAAACCTGTTTTGTGTTTATGCCCTTTTTTAGATAAACTGGTGGTTGCCCTCTATGATTATGAATCAACTCATGAAGGAGATCTGCTACTTCGGACAGGAGAACAGCTGAGGATAGTAGAAGAGTAAGCTGGTTCCCACTGTGGGGCACAATGTGATTCATCAGCAAAAGGAATTAACTGTCTGAAAAGAGCTAAGTTGCATTGAAGGCTTGCATTCCACTAGGAAGTGCAGCTTCTAATCACGTTATTATCAGTAATATTGGCCAATGAGGATTTAGACATACATTTATACTGTGAAAGGTTTCTAAGTGGGCTCTGAGAGCTCAAGATTAATTCAGCTCAACTGATATAAAACTGCAAAGCCTTGTAAGTATGTATGTGTACACACACATGCAAACACATACAAACATGAACCAAAACGATGTGAGAATTCCATGTTTTTGTCATGGTTGAATTCAGTCCCTGAGTATGGATTTTCTACCAAGGCACACAAATTCATTTACTGCCTCTAACCGTTCGTATATGCATAAGTTGTGAAGTGTATTAAAAAAAGCACGATTGGCAGGCTGCAATAGCCATCTTGATCTATTGGACCCCCTGCTCTCCCCAGTGGATTCTCTGGTGTTGGAGTACATCCCACCCAAGTTCACTGCCCTGAGTGGAGGGATGGTAGTGAGGTTCCTTTTGATAAAACACAAAAATTCATTATGCAAAAATTATACTGTGATAATGGGAAGGACTACTGCCTGGTGTCCAGCTGACATGGCTAAAGGAACACAAGCTGGAAGAAGGAGGAATAAGGGTTGTCCAAACCTCCATTGGGTTCATTCTCTGCCTTTGTCTCTTGGGTAGGGATGGGGTTGAAGAATAAGGAGATGGACAGACAACTCTTCTCTCTTTTAGGACAGGGGAATGGTGGAAAGCTCAGTCTCTCACCACAGGACAAGTGGGCTACATACCATGCAACTTTGTCGCCAAGTTGAACACACTGGAGCAAGAGCCGTGAGTAGGAAGAATTGTTCTTCTCCATGCCCATTAGCCACAAACAGGTTGTATTTTTAAGGGTATCAAAACAGGTAGTCCTTGAGTTACAACCATTCATTTAGTGACTGTTCAAAGTTACGATGGTGCTGAAAAATGTGACAGCTGGTCCTTGAACTGTAGTCATGTGATCATCCTTTGCGACCTTCGTAGCCAGCTTTTGACAAGCAAGGTCAATAGGGAGCCAGTGCAAGCTGCACTGGCTCCTTATTGGTCTCCGGTCACAACTCAAGGTGTTGGTTATTACCTACATGGCTCAGAGCCAGGTTATCTTCAAGACCGCCTTCTGCCGCATAGCTCCCAGTGACCGGTAAGATCCCACAGAGTTGGTCTCCTCCGGGTCCCATCAACTAAACAATGCCGTCTGGTGGGCCCGTGGGGGAGGGCCTTCTCTGTGGCTGCCCCAGCTCTCTGGAACCAGTTACCTCCTGAGGTCCGGACCATCCCCACCCTATTGGCCTTCCGAAAAGCGGTGAAGACCTGGCTTTTCCGGCAGGCCTGGGGCCGTTGATCTCACTCTTGTGATCTGGTGAGATCCGGCCAGGAATGGCGTGAATGAGTTTTTAATGTTCTTAATGTTTTTAATTTTTAAATGTTTTTTATAATGATTTTTTAAAATGTATTGTGAGCTGCCCTGAGTCTTCGGAGAGGGGCGGCATATAAATTGAATTAATTAAATTAAATTAAATTAAAGGTCATGATTCCATGGCACCTTACTTAACAACCATGGCAAAACAGGTTATGAAATCAGATGTGATCACCTGATGCTTCATTTAACTATCACCACTTAACAACAAATCTTTTGCTTCTAATTATGATTGTAAATCAAGGACTGAATGTAATGATAAGGGCTTAAACTTCAGGCCAAATCCTGCTTATTCAAGTTCAGGCTATTGGTAAATGAATGTATTGATAAATCTGTCTAACTGTTGGTTGCATTAAGAAAGTTTCATTTTTATTGTTTTAACAGAATGCAAATGTTACTTTTGCAGGTAAACTACTAAAGAAATGCATGTGTTTTTGTATGTTTTATATATTTTTCTGTGGAATTAAAATTAGTGTTTTTATTGTACTTTTTTAAAAAAATGTAGCCACTCACACAAATACAGTTAGTCCTTGACTTACAACAGCACTGAAAAAAGTGACTTATGACCATTTTTCACACTTATGACTGTTGTAACATCCCCATGATCCTGTGATTTACATCCAGATGCTTGACAATTGACTCATATTTTTGACAGTTGCAGTGTCACAGGCTCATGTAATCAATCACCTTTTTGCAACCTCCTGACAAGCAAAGTCAATGGGGAAACCAGATTCACTTAACAATAATGTCACTAATTTAACAATTGCAGCGATTCACTTAACAAATTTCTCACTTACCAATATAAATTTTGAGCTCAATTGTGGTCATAAGTTGAGGACTTTCTGTATATTCAATTGCTAAAGCTGAGTCCTTCTCTGTCAGCTCAGCTCCTCTTCTCCAACCATAAGTATAAACCCAATAAAAGGAGTTAGATGTCCACATTCCTAATGTGTGGTCCAACAATCTCAATCTCAGCAACTATGGACTTCAGCTCCTAGAAATGGGAATTCTAGAACCAACTATAAGAGGTGGTCTTACAGCTTTAGAAGGCACCAGGTTAGAGAAGACTGAGCCAGGGAGACCAAGGAAGAAAATAATGCTATCACAGACTATTTCATTGATCCTACAAATTTCTATTGTGAAACAAAGCAAATGAATAGCAAATCTGAGTAGAACTCACAAAAGGTGCAGAAATTTGCATATATCACAAGAACATGTGAACAAATGGATCCAGGAAACTAGAAACCGGTCAGCCTGATATCAATATCTGGGAAGTTTCTGGAAAAGATAATCAAGCAACGAATCACCAAACACCTAGAGGCAAACGAAGTCATAACCAAAAGCCATCATGGGTTTGTCAAAAACAGATCATGCCAGACTAATCTTATTGCATTCTTTGACAAAGTGACAAAATTACTGGACCAGAGAAATGCTGTGGATATCATTTACTTGGACTTTAGTAAGGCATTTGATAAAGTAGACCACGGGTGTCAAACTTGATCATGTCAAGGGCTGCATCATGACGTATTGCAACGTTTTTTGCCTTTACGGAGCCAGGGTGGGCGTGGCATGCAAGTGATGTATCCGGCCTGCGGGCCGTCAGTTTGACAAGCCTGAAGTAAACCGTAACCTACTACTTGATAAGATAGAAAAAGGTGGATTAGACAGCATCACCACCACATGGATTCATAACAGGCTGACCAACTGCACTTAACATGTAGTCCTCAATGGAACTGCATCTACATGGAGGGAAGTATGCAGTGGGGTACCCCAAGACTCTGTCTTAGGCCCAGTACACTTCAATATCTTAATCAATGATTTAGATGAGGATATAGATGGGAAACTTATCAAATTTGCAGACAACACCAAGCTGGCAGGAATAGCCAACACTCCAGAAGATAGGCTTAAGATACAGGAGGATCTTGACAGACTTGAACAATGGGCCCTATCTAACAAAATAAAATTCAATGGTGAAAAAGTAAGGTTCTACATTTAGGCAAGAAAAACCAAATGCACAGGAATAGTATAGGCAGTGCCTGGTTCAATAGCAGTAATTATGAGAGGGATCTTGGAGTTCTGGTGGACAATCACTTAAACATGAGCCAGCAGTGTGCTACAAGCTGCCAAAAACCACAGTGCGATCCTAGGTTGCATTAACAGAGGGATCGTATCAAGATCACATAAAATGTTAATACCACTTTATAATGCCTTGGTAAGACAATACTTGGAATGCTGCATTCAGTTTTGGTTGCCACAATGTAAAAAAGATGTTGAGACTCTAGAAAGAGTGCAGAGAAGAGCAACAAAAATGATTAGGGGACTGGAGGCTAAAACATATGAGGAACGGTTGCAGGAACTGGGCATGTCTAGTTTAATGAAAAGAAAGACCTGGGGTGACATGATAGCAATGTTCCAATATCTAAGGGCTTGCCACAAAGAAGAGGGAGTCAACCCATTATCCAAAGCACCTGAAGGCAGAACAAGAAGCAGTGGGTGGAAACTAATCAAGGAGAGAAGCAACCTAAAACTAAGGAGAAATTTCCTGACAGAACAATTAATCGGTGGAATAGCTTGCCTCCAGAAATTGTGAATGCTCCAACACAGGACATTTTAAAGAAAAGATTGAACAACCATTTGTCTGAAATGGTATAGGGCTTCCTGTCTGAGTCGGGGGCGGGGGGAGGTTGGACTAGAATACCTCCAATATCCCTTCCACCTCTGTTATTCTCTTATTCTGTTATGTTTAGCCTCACACCAAATTCATCAACCATTTACTTTCTCAGCCCTTCAAGGTAGGCCAGGTCAAGAAACAGACCCCATAACACACTTTTGCTATGGGGTATGATAAAAGTATCTTGAAAGACTGACCAAGATTCTCTTACATCCAAGAGAGTCAAGACAGGATTAACTTGAGTTTCTTCTTCATGCCCAGCTCTGTTTGAGGTTAAGCTGACATTTTTCTTCTTCAAGATCATCCTCATACTTTTCTACCCCACGGAAGTAGATGGCTCCTTTTTTTTACCAAAAGACATCCATCTGCTTGAATCATTTTGGCTGATGAGATTTGAGGGTGTGCTGTGGACACCACAAGGGACGTAGTCACAGGGATTTTGGACATTGTGGTACCACACTGGTGGCTTGACTGCAAGATGTTCCTCAGAAGCTATACTTGGAGAGTATTTAAAGGTTACACAAAAAACACAACATCCATCTTGATCCATCAGGATCGTGGTCTAGTCCTCACTGACAAGTACAATTCCTTGGGGTGCTTACTTTCTGTGCTCTAAAGGTGAGGAAGATTTTTCTCAGGGTAAAATGGTCCCAACCTAATTCTTGTGTTTTATCTTTCACCACTTAATTGAGTCCTTCCACCTTGTTGTTGCTTGTCCTTTTCATCTCCTTTCTTCCATCTTTCCCAACAGTCTGGACTTTCTTTCTTTTTTCCCCCCCAAAGGTTTATTGGATTTTTATTTTTAAACATATATCAACATCAATACATGAACAGTGTGGCCTCTGAGTACGGTTCATATTAATACAAATAACAACAGTCAATTTTTACATTAATCAAATTTATATAATCCTAATATTAATGTACTTGATTATTTTAAAGTAGTTATTCAATATTTCAGTGTTCCATTCTAATGTCAATGATCTTGAACATACATAGTAATACCATCTTTCAAACTCCCAACTTTCCATCTAATTATTACTTATTTTCAATTTATATAGAAATTATAACTTAATATTCCCCCTAATTCTTATTTCTACCTCTATTCTGGCTTCTAGTCAGGTCACTCTTACTAATCCTAATGTTAAAACACATATTTATGTTAATACATAGTTCGTCACATAAAGGTGTAAACCCTAATCCAACAGTCTGGACTTCAAAGGGAGCTGGGTATTCACCTAATATGTCAAAACATAATAATTAAAACTAATCCTTTGTGCCTCAACCAAGGAGTCTCCCCTTCAACATCAACATTTTAAGGTGTTGGTGCTTTCTTTCTTCAAAGTCCAATGTTCACTTTCACAGAGGGTCACAAGGAGCACTTTTGCTTGCACAATTCTGATCTTTGTAGTATAGACACATAGCTCTTTAATTCAACAGTAGGAAAAGAGGGACAAAATGTAGGGGTTGAAAAGATCTTTACTTGGCAAATGGTAAATGTTTTTGTTCTTAAGGCAGATGGGCTAATTTGGAAATGGTTTTGCAAGGAACAAAATATTTTGCCCTTTATATTTTTGGATTGTGTGACACTACAGTTCTCTTTTCTCTACTTTGTTCTTGTGGATAAATATAAATATATGGATCTTTTTTTTTTTTAAAAAAAGTATATTTTATAGGCTATAGTGGAAATATTTACTGTATGCAATTCTGGGAGTATTCATTTTGCAGAGCGGCCAAAAAAAAGGTTTCAAATTAAAATGTAAATGTGGCCTTTTCTTCTGTAATGAGAAATATCCTCACCTTGTTTCATTTTAAGTCAGAATAGCTGCGGTTGCTTACGTAAAACTATAGAATGCACAATGGGCTGTGGATAGAACTCTGTAATCAACAATGTGTTGTTTTTTGCAGTTGGTTTTTCAAAGCCCTGAGCAGGAAGGATGCTGAGCGCTGCCTTCTCGCTGCTGGTAATACACATGGTGCTTTCCTCATTCGAGAGAGTGAATCCACCAAAGGTAATTTGAACAGGCTCTGATCATCATTTCCTCTGTATTAGGAAAATGACAAAAATATTGGAGAGGGAAACTTAAAAACAGCTTTGGAAAAGTATAATTGGGTGCCTTACACGATAGCAGTCTTCCAATATTTGAGGGGCTGTCACAGAGAAGAGGGCAGGACAAGAACTAGTAACTAGTGGAAGCTTATCAAAGTGGAATGGGGCAACTCGCCACAACTAACTTGCTACAGCCAACTTGCCCTGGTACCCTCACTTTGTCCAATTTGCCCAGTCAACTCACCACAGGACAACTCACCACGGACAATTCACCATGGCCAACTTGCCATGGGACAACTTGCTGCAGGATAATTCAACAATTCAATTTAATTACCGTATTTTTCGGAGTATAAGACGCACCTTTTCTCCCACAAAAAGAGGGTGAAAATCTGGGTGCATCTTATACTCTGTATGTATAAGACGCACCTGGAATGTAGCCCTGCCCAGCTTCTCAAATGGAGGTTTCAGAGGCTGAAAAAAGCATCAGAAACAAAGCTTCAGAAAAGAAGTCCCCAAACAGAGCTTCAGAGGCTTTTTTTCTGAAGCTCTGTTTTGGAGGCTTTCAGAGGCATGAAAAAAAGTTTTTTCTGAAATGGAAAAAAGACACAGAGCTCACAACCAAGGAAACTGCTGCTAAAATTCATTTCTGGGAACAGCTGATTGGGGGTATTCTGGGAGGCCGATTCACCTGCCAATCAGCTTTTTTCTTATTTTCCTTCCCAAAAACTAAGGTGTGTCTTATACTCTGAAAAATACGGTATTTAAAATAATTAAAAATTATTTTAATTTTTGTCATTCACATTTCATTTTCTCCCTCCTTTGGCATCCTTTCTTTAATGATTCTATTCCACTATTTCTTCGATATTAGTATAATTCTTGTCCCACGATGAGTTGTTCTGCAGTGAGTTGGCCACGGTGAGTTGGCTGTGGCGAGCTGGCCGCAGCAAGTTGACTGTGCCGAGTTGTGGTAGACCCTACCAAAGGGAGATCCAACCTAGAATTGAGAAGAAATTTCCTTCTCAATGAGAAAAATTAATCAGTGGAACGGCTTGCCTCCAGATTTCATGGGTGCTCCATTGCTGGAGGTTTTTAAGAAGAGGTTGGACAGCCATTTGTCTGAAATGGTACAGGGCCTTCTGCTTGGGCAGGGGATTGGACTAGGAGACTTCTAAGGCTCCTTCCATCTCTCTTATTCTGTATATCCCACCAGCCCCTCTGCCAACAAACATGGGATTCCCTACACCAGAACAATCCCCCACTTTTCTCAAGAAAGTCTTTAATTCCAACACAAAAGAATATTTGCACCTATGGAGCCCCTGATGCTGTCTGAGCTTGGTTGTTAGCTTGCAGAGACATTTAATTACCCAACTAGGTTAGATGTTCAGTGTGAGGAAGAGTGGAATTTGTTTCCTTATCCTTCATGTGTTGGTAGGTGAGTGTGGTTTTCTCATTGCTAGTTCCTTGATTGGAGTATCATTTTATGCTAGAAAGCATTAAAGCTTCTCGTTAATTCCTTTATTAGCATTTTATTGGCATATTGATCATTTATGGAAAAAAATTATTTGCCTTTTAATGACTTATCCTGTGTCCCAGCCACTCCCTCTGTGTTCTGCTGGGAGGGGGGGCAAGGTTGAGAACCACTTCCTTATCAGCTTCAAGGGCTTCCAGTCATGCTTACTGCTGCACAATTAGTCTGCTTTCTTGTCACCCTGTTGGCAGCCTTCCATGGGGGGGGGGGGAAGAAAAAGGAGGGAGGAGAGATACTTTTGATTGACAACATGGGTGACTTCTTCTTGGAAGCAGCCAGAATCAAGACTGGCTCTATTGTTGAGCAAAGGGAAGCTGCTGGCAAGAAGAACCATGAGAGGGTTATTTAGTTTTGTTGGAAATATCAGCACCCTACTTTTCTTGCCACAAGAAAGCAACTCAACTGACAAAAAGAAGTGTAGGCTAGCCAGCTGCTGCCTCCAGGTGCATTGGAGAAGATGGTGCCCCTTTGCGGTTGCAAATGGAAGATTCGGTGGCTGCTTTAATTTACTTTCTGATATGGAAGCTGGCATAAAATTTATGGCATACAAATAAATAAAGAAACAAATATGGGAAAGAGAGTAACCTTGAGAGCCAGTTTAGTCTAGTGCAGTGTTTCTCAAACATGGACACTTGAAGATGGGTGGACTTCAACTCCCAGAATTCCCCAGCCAGCATGCGCTGGGGTGGATAATTTTGGGAGTTGAAATCCACCCATCTTCAAGCTACCATGATTGAGAAACACGGCATTAACGTCGATATCACTTTATCCACAGGCCTCCCCCTGCCTCTGTCTGATGGCTGGCAAATCCAGACTGAGAATTTTGTTCAGTGAAATTGCAGCCTCTTGTTTGCTCTTGCACAATCTGACCTAACTCCATACTCTCTGTAACATAATTATCAATAATTGTATGTTGTTAAGCTGTGAGCTTTGTCCCTAAATGCTTTTCCCCATCCAGTTTCAGTAGCAACTTTTCAAACTGACCTATTTCATCAAAAGACAGCTTTTGTGAGCAAAAATGAGAAAAATTATTACAGCCTGCCCCTCTGAATGTTAGCTTGTATAGATTGATGTAGCTCTCTTCCTACAATACACACTAGATTGAACCCCTCCTCATTCCCAAGTCCTTTCTTAACTGTCCCCCAAATCTCATATCCTGGCGGCTGCTTTGCAGATATCAGTAAAGTTTTCCAGGGGTGAAATGCTTCCGGTTCGGATCAGATCGCCCGATCTGGTAGTGATGGAGGCGGGTGGTTCGGAGAACCGGTAACAAAAATCTCTGCGCCCCACCCCCACCCATGCCCACTGAGCTGCACCACCTCTTCAGCCGAAAAATGCTTTTAAAAGTAAAAAAAAAAAGCCTTTGATGATCGCGCGGCTCAGCTGGGATCATCAAAGGCTTTTAAAAGCATTTTTTCTACAACCTCTTCAGCGAAGAGGTTGTAAAAAAATGCTTTCAAAGGGCTCTGACGATCCCAGCTGAGTTGCCTGATTGTCAGAGGCTTTTTTTTTTAAAATGCCACTGACAATCAGGCAACTCAGCTTGGATTGTCAGAGGCTTTTAAAAGAAAAAATGCCTCTGCCAATCAGGCAACTCAGTTGGGATCATCAGAGCCTTTTGAAAGCATTTTTTTACAACCTCTTTGCCGAATTTTTTAAAAATGGTTTTAAAATTAAAAAAAAATTGGCCACGCCCACCCAGTCATATTACCTCCACCCCCACCCCCAAGCCATGCCCACAGAACCGGTAGTAACAAATTTTAGATTTCACCACTGAAGTTTTCCATTCTTTTACTGGGAAGCTGGAGCTGGTGCTATTAAAAACTCTGCCACCAGCTTCTCTCTATCGAAGACTTGAACATGTTGGGATGAAAAGATGCAATAGTAGAGATATCAAATGCTGAGCCTCAAACTAGCAGAACTATGGGTAGTCGTCAATTTACAACCATTTGTTTAGAGACTTTCAAAGTTACAACAGCACTGAAAAAGTGATTTATAATTGGTCCTCACACTTATGACCATTGTAGCATTCCCACCAACATGTGATCAACATTTGGGTGCTTGGCAACCTGCATGTATTTACCATAGTTGCAGCATCCTAGGATTATGGGATGGGCAGCTTCTGACACGTAAAGTCAATGGGGGAAGACAGATTTGCTTAACAACTGCACAACTCACTTAAAAACTGCAGTGATTTGCTTAACAGCCATGGCAAAAAAAAGTCATAACATTGGGGGCAACTCACTTAACAACCATCTTGCTTAGCAATGGAAATTCTGGTTGTAACTGTGGTTGTAAATCAATGACTCCTTATAAATGTATGCCTTGGGCAACTGCTCAAAAAAAGTCAAGAAGGCAGCCACAACAAAAAGAGGAAAGACTTGCCCCATTTAATCCCATAAAAGGAATGGGGGCTTTAATTGCTTCAGTGTGGCTGCCATTTGACTTTTTTGACTGCTTCCCTGTGTACACCAACTTATTTCATCAAAAGGCAGAAGCTCTTGTGAGCAAAAATGAAAAAAAAAAAAGTTAAAATGTGTCTCTCTGAACGTTAGCTTCTATAGATTGACGTAGCTCTCTTCTTACAATGCACATCTAGCTTGGATCCCTCTTCACTCCCAAGTCCTTTCTTAACTGTCCCAGCCAAGCAAGGAAGCATTTTGGAGCAAGGAAAACGATGCCTGCCTCTCTCTCTGAGAAAGGGACAGAAAAGTAACCCTGTTCTGTTTCTCCCCAGGTTCCTTCTCCCTCTCTGTGCGAGATTTTGACCAGAATCGAGGAGAAGTTGTGAAGCATTATAAGATACGAAATATGGACAACGGCGGGTTCTACATCTCTCCTCGTATCACCTTTGACAGCTTGCACAGCCTGGTAGAACATTATACCAGTAAGGCTAAAGACCCTGCTGGAGAGCCTCTTTTGGGTGGGACTGGGCTGTCTGCTTTTCTCCTACAGAAAGACTTTGGATCTCCCAATGCCGGAGATACTAATGTAGGGGCTGTCGAGTACCACATGCTTTCTGTGGTTTTAGCACCTAATGCACTAATGTAGTTGCTGTCCTGGAATTTGTACCATCCAGGGCAGTGTTTCTCAACCTCAGCAACTTTAAGAAATGTGGACTTCAGCTCCCAGCTCCAAGCTGAAGTCCACACTTCTTGAAGTTGTCAAGGTTGAGAAAGGCTATTCTAGAAGATGCTTTTTATTTGTAAAAATGGCTACACGTATAAGAAGTTGCCCTTTCTGAGGAGATTCTGGACGGCCTTCTTCCATGCCTCTCCTTGTGAAGCTTCAATGCCAGCTGCAGACGTGGTCCAGTGCCATCCCTTTGGCCTTCCTCTGATCTACTTACTCTTCTCCTTTGCCTCATCCCTTTTCATAGGTAACGCTGATGGGCTCTGCACCCGCCTTACCAAGTCCTGCCAAACTCAGAAGCCACAGAAGCCCTGGTGGCAAGATGAGTGGGAAGTGCCCAGGGAGAGCCTGAAGCTGGTGGAGAAACTGGGAGCAGGGCAGTTTGGTGAAGTTTGGATGGGTAAGTGGGGTGTGGATTCATGCATACTCTGTTCAGCCATGACCTTCAGCAACTCAATAAGCTATACTTTTATTAGAAAAGGCTTTCGTTGTTGTTGTTGTTATCCCCTCTTTATTCTTTGTATATCCTTCTATGTAATCCTTCTTCCTCCTAATTTCCCCATAACAACAACCCTGTAAAGTGGTTTGGATTGAGAGAGAGTCACTGGTGCAAAGTCACTCAGCCGGTTTTCATACCTAAAACGGGACTAGAATTCATTGTCTTCTGTTGATTGGCCCAAAGTCTCCCAGCCAGGGGTGAAATGCTCTCGGTTCGGACCGGATCAGGTGATCCAGTAGCGATTGTGGCAGGTGGTTCAGAGAACTGGTAGCAATGGCGGTGCGAGGCTCCGCCCACCCACCCAGGTGTCATTACTTCCTGCTTTTAAAAGGTTAAAAAAAAGGCTCTGACGATCGCACGCCACAGCTGTGATCGTCAGAGCCTTTTTTTAATCTTTTAAAAGCATTTTTTTACAACCTATTCTCCTGAATAGGTTGTAAAAAATGCTTTAAAAAAGTAAAAAAAAAAAAAAGTTGGCCATGCCCACCCAGTCACATTACACCCCCCCCCACCCGACCCACACCCACAGAACCGGTAATAACAAATTTTACATTTCACCACTGCTCCCAGCTGTCATTGTCTTAATTGCCTGCTATTTAAAAATTACTGAAGTAATTTTACATAATTTAAATAATTTGTTTGATGTAGTAGGATTTTCAGTTTAGACCAACTGTGCTGCTGAACTTTTAATTTAGTTTCTATTAAATTTTTTGTGGCAGGATGTGACTGCTGAAAAACAACAGCTGTGTTGGTATCACAATGTCAACCAGATTAGTTGCAAACTTGGAGGCTACATTTGCAGAAAATGCTATGCTTGGTTAGATTCAATGTCAGTTAGCTTCTTTATGGCTTGTGTGAATCCAGCTCCTTTGATTATTGGATGTTACAAGACATTGTGCAGATTCAGGAAGTGAGTTAATTTCATATCCAAGTGAAGTATGTTGTATGAACGTAGCGTTTGGGTTCAAAGAGGCATGAAGGGCTCAATGTCAGGTTTCGGTGCTATCTTGAATAAACTTCATTCTCAAGCGCAAGCTGTCTAATGAAACATTTTATTTTTAAGCATAGCAGAATCTGACATTTCTGACTCAAAATTGCAGCCAAACTGGCCCCTCCTTCCAACCCCCTCCTCTTCCGCTCTCCAGCCCCCACGTCCCATTGGCCATCATACAGATCCATCTCTACATCCCGGCACGTTCTTTTCACAGGAATGCAGCCCCCACCCTCGTCTCCCAGGAAACCCTATCTGTATATACAAAACTAGGTAAAAGTTCATCTCAGCAATAAATCAAGCTTCTGCTCTTTCTGCTTCAACTTGTTATGTCAGCGCTGGAAGAAAGCCTAATTTGGAACGCTGACATCCGGCCTCTCTCCTTTCCCTCTGGTGGTTTTGACGTGTCACTCGCCCGCAGCCCTCTGTCGACTTTTATCGCTACCCGGAACCATTCAGCGAGTCGGTTTGGGATGTCACGATAGGCAGTCACTTGGGAAATTCTTTTATCTAGGCTTGTTCTAAAAAAATACACCAGCAATCGCTCTGGTAGGGGAGGCAGTGTCCCAATGACTCTCCTGAATTCACGGATATGCTCTCTGATAGGCTTCCCCCTCTGCATTAGGTTTCTGAGCTCGTCTTCCACATAGGGGTCCTCCTCCTCCTCCTCATAACGGGCTCTCAATAGTTGCAAGAACCCATCCGCATTTTGTAGCTGGGGGGCCCTGTATTTGTAGAGTGATGCTGACCACCTCTTTGCTTCTCCCTCCAGCCCTTCCGAGATAGCATTCACTAGGGCTCTGGGGAAAGGGTAGAGGTGTCCGAACCGCTCTATGTATATCTCAGCTGAATCGAGGAATTGGGCGAGGTTGTCTGGGTCACCATCGAATTTCCCTCTGAACTGGGGTGGTTCCTCCCTCTCTGCCCTCTCCTCTCTGTGCTGAGCTCTGGAGGGCCAGCCTTGGTGTTGGTAGTCCTCTGCCTCGTCTCTCATCGTGGGGTGGGGAGGTGCTGCCTTGTCTGGGCTTCGCTGCCATTCCCATCCCCAGCTCGCCCTTCCCAATTCACTTAGGGGTTTTTCTTTATCTTTTACCTTTGTATTTTCCAAGTTGGCTGGAATCACGACCGCTTCTGCTCCTCCCGTTTCTTGAAGCAGGCTTTCCTCCGAGAGCTTGGCTTCAGCCATAGTCCGTCCGACCAGATGTCTGGGAGGGAACGGGATGATTTAAACTCAGCCAGCCTGGATTTGGAGGAGAGTTTGGCTGTCTGTCAGGTTTCGGTGCTATCTTGAATAAACTTCATTCTCAAGCGCAAGCTGTCTAATGAAACATTTTATTTTTAAGCATAGCAGAATCCGACATTTCTGACTCAAAATTGCAGCCAAACTGGCCCCTCCTTCCAACCCCCTCCTCTTCCGCTCTCCAGCCCCCACGTCCCATTGGCCATCATACAGATCCATCTCTACATCCCGGCACGTTCTTTTCACAGGAATGCAGCCCCCACCCTCGTCTCCCAGGAAACCCTATCTGTATATACAAAACTAGGTAAAAGTTCATCTCAGCAATAAATCAAGCTTCCGCTCTTTCTGCTTCAACTTGTTATGTCAGCGCTGGAAGAAAGCCTAATTTGGAACGCTGACATCCAAGGCTTGTGTCATCTGAATAGAGGCATCCTCGTGTTTGTATGCTGAAAAAGTTAAGATGGCAGTCACAATCACACAACTGAAGTCCTACTCTGTTTTTACATGGACTACGTGATATATGAAGAAAAATGCATGGCTTCAGTTGTGTGGTCCTGGCCATCATCATGACCTACGTGACCCCCTTCCCCCACAAATAGGCCTGCTGTTAGATCAAAATGGTGGAGAGGCTGTTTTGATGACCAGAAGAGCTTCCCCTTCAACGGTTGATTTATGTCCAGTAATGGGGAATTCAGGCTTAGCCCTGGACCTATATCTTCCCTCTCTCCTTCCGCAGGCTACTATAATGGCCATACAAAAGTTGCCATCAAGAGTTTGAAACAAGGCAGCATGTCACCTGAAGCCTTCCTGGCTGAAGCCAACCTGATGAAGAAACTGCGCCATGCACGCCTGGTGAGGCTCTATGCAGTGGTAACTCAAAGGCCCATGTTCATCATTACGGAGTATATGGAAAATGGTGAGCTTCTGAGAATGTTTCCTCCCATTTCACATGGATGAAGTTTGGTTCTGACTTGGAAGTGGGAAATTTTGCAGGTTCATTCTGATTCTATTAGGTATTGTTTTCTAAATGTGCTTTCCACATTTCATATTTTTCTAGGGATAGTCTCCTCTCCTCTCCTTTCCCCTCCCTTCCTCTTCTCCCCCCTCCCTCCCTTCCCCCTCCTTTCTCTTCTCTTCTCTTCTCTTCTCTTCTCTTCTCTTCTCTTCTCTTCTCTTCTCTTCTCTTGAGTGGAGCAATCCATTCAAAGATCTTAAAAAGTGTTACTTTCTGATATCTCTTCTTCAACAAGCATTTTACCAGCATTGAAGTGATAAGGTGACTGGGTGGGAGAGAGCGAAGGCTAGCTTGATCATAAGGAATATATAAGATACATGTATATAAGATACATAAGGAATATATAAAAGGAAATTATTAGTGCAAAGTGCAGCAATTTATATCCATTTCAGCATATGAAAGGTCTTCCTAATGGTAAGAGCTCCACGACAATGGAGCAGTCTTCCTAGAGTCTATGGATTCTCCATCTCTAGTGGCTTTTAAGAAGCTGGAGATCCATCTGCATTGGATGGCTTAAATGGTTTTCCTATACAGTGCAGAGGGTTGGACCAAATAATACTCGGAGAGCCTTTCTGCTCTATGGTTCTTTCACATCAGAGTCTTTGGATGGAAAGCAGGAGATAATTGCAGACTTCAGATTAGCTTGTCTGGGGATGTAATGGTTACACACTTCTGGACCCATCATCTAGGGCAGCATTTGTCAACGTGTGCACTTAAGCTGTTGTGGGCTTCAATTCCCAGAATTCCTCAGACAGTATGCTGGCTGGGGAATTCTGGGAGTTGAAGTCCAGACACCTTAAAGTTGCTCTAAAGGGTTTTCCTTCATGGCTGAGTTATGGTGTTTGCCACCAGTCCTTGAGTTGACCATATATATATATATATATATATTTAATTTGATTTATATGCCGCCCTTCTCCGGAGACTCAGGGCGACTTACAATGCATTAAGCAATAGCCTTCATACTTTTGTATATTTATACAAAGTCAGCTTATTGCCCCCACAAACTGGGTCCTCATTTAACCTACCTTAGAAAGGATGGAAGGCTGAGTCAACCTTGAGCCTGGTAAGATTCGAACCTGCAGAAATTGCAGGCAGCTGTGTTAATAACAGGGTGCATTAAACCACTGTACTACCAAGGCTATATATTACTCTATATATTATATTACTATAATATATAGTACATACATAAAATTTATTTCCCCAAGTGCTGATTCTTATCCTGCTGAAGCTACCAAATGGCAGTGTCTTTATTTACTGTTTGCAGCTTTTTAAGAAAGGAGATTGGTAGACTCTCCCTTCCTTATTACCTTTCTCTCCCACCAAATATGGAAGCTAAGATGAAAATATTCCTCCAATTACTTTCCTTCACTAAGGTTGCAGCCATAGAGTAAACTGTTTGACAGATGCATAGATAAGTCTGGACATCTAAATCTTGCTTGGAGTAGTCACACGTGTTTTGTGGAAGCTTTAAACCCAAGTGTAGGTCCTGTCTGGAGAAATGCTAAACCTAAACCCAATTCTTTTTAAGTATCCTTCAGGAGGAACACTAAGCCTGTGTTCAAAACCAGTCTGGATTTCTACCATGAGGTATTGTTCAGGTTGATCCAAATCTCCAAGTGAAAATTGGTTTGGAGATGAGTGGAAAACTGGTTTGAAACAACTGGACAGTCCTCGGCCTAAAATTATGTCCAGTGTCCAGAATTTGGAAAGGAAGATGTGGGTTTCCATCAGCCTAAAATACCATGTTTCCCCAAAAATAAGACTCTGTCTTATATTTTTTTGCCACAAAAAAAAGGCACCAGGTCTTATTTTTTAGGGGGGATGTCGTCCACTGACTCACCTCACTTGCGTGTGTCATCCCTGGCCTCCTTTTTGCTATCAGATGCCTTCAGGAACTTCTTCAGCTTCAGATGGTTGCAATCAGGCCGCATAAGGCAGCTCCACCACCCCCACCCCCACCATAGCTTAATTTTTACCCGTGCACCCTGGAGTGGGCAGGGTCTTGATTGGGGCTTATTTTGGGGGTAGGGCTTATATTGGCCACATGTGTAAAAACCAAGTTAGGACTTACTTTCTGGGTAGGTCATATTTTCAGGGAAACACAGGTAGATAACAGGGATCCTTGTTGATTCTTGTTAGTACTTCCTAGAGGTCAACAGATACTTCCTAGGGATCACTTCACTGTGTACCAATGGTAAAACAGTGATGGCTTTGGGCTACCTGAGGAAACCATAGCTAACACAGAGCAATCAAGGATAATGTTACGTTTCTTCAGTTGTGGGTTGGGGACAAATGAAGGCATCCTGGCGACTTGGCAAAAAAGAAAAGGGGGGTGGAGATTTTGCTAGTTATGAACATCTGAACTCTAATTAGATGCAAATGGAGAAAGGTTCTAGAATTCCCATTCTGCCCCCATTTTTGATAACATAAAAATCATCTGCTCCATGGTGAAACATGGAAATTCTATGAAACTATTTCTTAGGCATTTTACAAAGATTCATTCAAATCTATTTTCCTCTTGAGTACCTGCTTAGTTATCTTGGATAAAATGGCAGTACTGAGATATTTTTCTCCAGGTTAAATGCATAGGTATACCTGTCTTCTTTTTCCTGGCTCATTTTGAGAATTGTATGAAGCACCAGCATCTTTGAGTGTTTGGTTACATCCTCAGCTATGAATTCTAGAAGCCAGTGTATGGGATCTGTTGGAGGGAAGGCCTCTCCTTTTGTGTATGTCAATTCCTAGATAACTTTTATTACAATATATACCCATTAGAAATAAAGTACAGTAAAGAATATTTCATTTTTACTCTCAGTTTTAGGAAACTCCTGTCTCCACTCCAAAGATCACCCAAATTAGGGCCCTATCAAAATTTGGCCCAGTTTGGTGGTAGAAGATTTGCAATCTTGGCTGATCTTGGAAAACTGATCAGGATTGGCCCTAATTAGGAATTGGCTGGGAGATAGCTAGGAAATCCTGGGACTGTAGCCTAAATGGGAAGTTGAAATATAGCCATAGAAGATAAGACAATGGGAAACTATTTCTGTAACATTTCCAAGAAAAAGACATGCATATTTCCATGAAATTCTCAGTAACTGGTCTTGAATGACCTTAAACAAAACTGGTGAACATTTCAAGGGATCATTGCCAAGCATTTGTCTTCTCCCAGATAAACGGAATAGAACACTGCAGAGAAGGTTTTTTTTATACTGTCACCTACTAGTATAGGTAATTCTCGACAATCGAGCCCAAAATTTAAATTGCTAAGCAAGATAGTTGTAGAGTTATTTTTGTCTGGTTTTACGACCTTTCTTGCCACAGTTGTTAAGTGAATTGCTGCAGTTTTTAAGTGAAATGTGGTTATTAAATAAATCTGGTGTCCCCACTGACTTTGCTTATCAAAAGGTCGCAAAAGGTGATCATATGGCTGGGGACATTGCAACTGACATGCCAGTTGCCAAGTGTCTGAGTTTTTATCATGTGACCACGGGAATGTTGCAACAGTCATAAGTCAAGGACTACCTGTAATACCAAGCAGGTCACCCCAGAGTAAAGTACAACTACCTGGAAATCTGCACTGAATGAAGTTCGGTAGCTGCTTATTTATATCTGTCTGTCTTGTCCATCCATCCATCCATCCATCCATCCATCCATCCATCCATCCATCCATCCATCCCTATCTATCTATCTATCTATCTATCTATCTATCTATCTATCTATCTATCTATCTATCTCTACCTATCTATCATCATTTCTCTCTCTCTTTCTCCCTCTCTCTTTCTCCCTCCCTCCCTCCTGCCCCCCTCTTCTTTCTTTCTTTCTTTCTTTCTTTCTTTCTTCTCTATCTATCTATCTATCTATCTATCTATCTATCTATCTATCTATCTATCTCTACCTATCTATCAACATCATTTCTCTCTCTCTTCTCCCTCTCTCTTTCTCCCTCTCTCTTTATCCCTCCCTCCCTCCTGCCCCCCTCTTCTATCTATCTATCTATCTATCTATCTATCTATCTATCTATCTATCTATCTATCTATCTATCTACCTACCTACCTACCTACCTACCTACCTACCTATCATAATCATTTCCCACCCTCATTATTATACCTCAACAGCCATCCACCTGTAGTTTATCTGACCAACCATGGTAATCAAAACCAGGCCCATGTGTGAACTGCATTCATGATGCTGACATGATGCTGATAACATGATGCTAAACCAAGGTTTTCTTAAAATTATGGGTTGCTAAGTAAACCATAATGGAAAGGTTCACACATACAAAGTCAAAACTAAATGTCTTTGGGGTGCCTTTGCCTTGCTGATACTTTAGCCTGGGACAGGATAGAGAGCAACAAAACCAGGCCAAGAATGGTGATAATGACCAATGGCAAACAGAGGGTACCACGTTGGCTCTTCCAGCAGTTTGTCCCTGCCCCTTGCTGGGGATATACAGGTAGTTCTTTACTTACAACCACAACTGAACCCAAAATTTGTGTTGCTAAGTGAGACAGTTATTAAGTGAATTTTGACCCATTTTACAACCTTCCTTGCAACACTTGTTAAGTGAATCACTGCCATTGTTAAGTTGGTAATATGGTTGTTAAGTGAATTTGGCTTCCCCATTGACTTCGCTTGTCAGAAAGTCGCAGACCGTGAACACATGACCCTGGGACACTGCAACAGTCATAAGTATGAGTCAGTTTCCAAGTGGCCTAATTTTGATCACATGATCATGGGGAATGCTACAATGGTCATAAGTGTGAAAAATGGCTTTTGTTCACTGCCATTGTAACTTTGAATGGTCACTAAATGAACTGTTGTAAGTCAAGAACCATCTGTATTCTATAATTCCCCCTGTTCTTTCAGAGCCAACCAAGTTATTTTGCACAGTTCCCTTTGCT